CTGTGCTGGTGTTTATACTCCACAAAGCCTCCACCCCACCGATTCCCCTCTCCGTAAACCCCTCTTATTCTCTCCATTCCCTCCTTCCACCACTCTCCCTGCCCTCAACACCCCCTTAGTCCCAGACCCCCAGCTCGGGTCCAAATCCCTGACTGTCCAGCGCCTTGGGACGTCCTCTCGACGTGAGAGTCGCTTAACAAATGTGATTATTTGTTGTCGTTGTTGTTGTTGTTATGCCCCCATTTGTAGAATCTCGCAAATGTTTTAATTCAGTTTCATCTTCGAAGCTCTGCTTTCTGTAGTTCTTCGAAGAAACTTACCCCCAAAAAAAACCCGGCTTCAAAATTAAAGACCACGTTTAATAAAAGTTTGACGAGGTTTGGATGTTGTGAAATCATTAAGAGTGATTCTGATTTGCGATTGACGATTCCCATCACTGCGAATTCTGTAATCAGAATCAAGTTTTTCCTTTTTTTTCAAAAAAAGTTTCAGCCCACAAATTACACAGTCAATTCACTTCACATTATATTCGGTGAAGCTCTTTGAGACGTCTCAAAGACGTGATAAGGCGCTGTATCAAATGCAAGGATTATTATTATTATTATTTCGCCTTAAAGATGCCTTTCTCAGGTACTTTTGACGTTGGGCCCAATTTGAAGGCAACTTTGGTGTAAAATGTTCAGCAAATGTTATTTTGTATTGGCCACATTTTATTTTTTTTTCGGTTGTGCAATCTCCAGTCTGAAGCTCGTCTGCTTTGCGTGTTGTCTGATGTGCACAAATGAGTGTCTTCATGTGTGAACATTTTTAGTCCGGTCTTTAATGTCAGTGGGGCAACCTTACAGAGGAAGCATATTGTCCACTGTGTGCTTAGATTTGCATAGTCACTCTCAAACAGAGAGAGAGAGAGAGAGAGTGGAAAGAAATTAGGGCACAGACAGAGTGATATATTTCCATATTTGGCTTCTGTTAAACAGAGAGAAAGAGAGAGAAATGAGCAGGAGGGAGAGGGAGGGGAAGAGAGTGACAGGATAAGGAAATGAATTGGAATCTAAATTGACTGGGCCTCATGTTGGTTGATTCATGGGCGGATCGTTTGATTGATATATCGATTGATCAATTGGTTCATTGGTCAATCAGTTGGCTCATTGATTGATTCATTGATGGATTGGAACATTGATTGATTGTTTGGCTCGAGGACTTTCCCATTGATTGATTGTTTTCCCGATTGATTGATTGATTGATCGATTGATTGATTATTGCCGGTCCGAAGTGCCACGTCTCCCTCCGACACTTAAAACGTTCGGTGGACAAATTCCAACGATGGAGACAGCGAACGTGCACCTCGGTCGTGGCAGCCGCCGACAATTTATTCCACCTGGTGGGGTTCAGCCAACTGAAAGGGTTAATTTGATTCAACACAGGCCGAGCGGAGGGGACATGCAAATGTAGAATCGTTCCGAGCAGGACAGGATACCACAGGACAGAACTTGCCAGAGGTATCAGCTGTGGGAATTCTTCTTTTCTGTTTAAAGAAGGATTATTGTCTACTTGACAGCAGCCAACAGTAAATGGATGATTTCCCAGCAGGTGTGATATTGATTTCCTGGGGTCCTCACCATCAAAAGGATTCACAAGGATGCAGGAGCCTGTTCTGTGTGAGCGATTCACACCCCGCCTGCACTTTCCTCCGAACGCGGCCTTTATTTATTCAAGGGCTTTTGGGATGAACCACGAGCTACCACGCTGGACACAACTGGAAGCTGTTGATTATTCCTTTCTGTCTCCGTTTGCGCGCGACCCTGCTATTCTCGCTGAGCCAGGATTCCACGCGGGAATCTCCTTGTGTTAATGGCCGGCGTCATGATAATCCTCGCCTTTGACACAGCGCCTTATCGTGGCGAGACGTCTCAAAGCGCTTGACAGGATTTAACAGCCATTTGCCTTTGTATAGCGGCCCCCTCGGTCACGCAGGGCAGCGTCCCAGGAGCGCTTGATGGTGGCCGAGCACGATGCCTAGCCGGGGGAAGGGGGTGGGGGGGAGGTAACCGTGGGCCATGGTCGAAGAGGAAGGTCTTCAGGCGTGACCTGAAGATGGGGAAGGAAGGAAGGAAGGAAGGGGCAAGGCAGAGGAAGATATACTGTAAGCTGTGTTATTTTGTGGGTGAATGCAACAGCCAATTTGGACACAGCGATGTCCCACAAACAGTCATGGAGCGAGGGACCGGTTTTATTTGCCCCCCCGCCCCCCACTCAATGGCACTGAGCTAACCGTTGTCTTGTTCCCTCTAGTGGCTGCTCTGGCAAAGGCCATCCATTAACTCTTGAAAAGTTAAATTGAACGTGAACCATAGGACAGCACAAATATTATTCTTAGCCGGCAGTGTCGTCGGTAATTACACAGATGTTGGGCAGATGTGAGGGCCACTGTGAGAACGTGGGACTCTCTAACCCACAAGGCTAAAGACCGAGTTAATCGGGGTGTGTAATAGGGAGAAAGATTGACCGTTGGGAAGTGAAGGTATTACAGGGAGATGTAGAAAAGGTAAATGGGATTGAGTGATCAATCGTGATCCAGTAAACTGGCGCAACGGACTCAATGGGCTGAATGGCCTCCTCCTGTTCCAAAACTCTCAGCTCAATGAACTGCTCCAACCAGTGCTGTTGACTTCAAAGAAATGTATACAGGACATCTCGTAACACAGGAATAGGGGGAGGCCATTCAGCCCATTACGCCATTTTATTAAGATTCAGAGCAGATTGTTTAATACCACCTTCCCCCAACTTGGCCCCCATCTACACTCATCAAAACTTCACATGATTTCTACGGTAAAGTGTAGTGACTGTGTATTTGGATTCATAGCATGTGGCTACTGGAAGCCGATTGGATCATTGCCCCTATTTGTGCAACATCACCTCTGATGAATTATTTCAAACTTATAACAGCAAATAATCCTGGCGTTTGACGCAGCGCCTTCTCAGGTCTTCGAGACGCCTCCAAGCCCTTGACAGGATATACTGTGAAGTGTAGTGACTGTGCACTTTGCGGGTGAAACGCGGCGGCCGATTGCGCACAGCAGCGTCCCGCCAAAAAAATGAAGGGAACGATGAATTTCATTTGGGGGAGGCGTTGGCCAGGACATCTCAGAGATGTACAAGTATATGAAGTCAACGCGTGTCTGCCAATTTACCTAACTGCGCTAGGGATGGAGCTCACATTCCTGTCCTACTCAAACAGTAAGCCAGAAGGAAGTAATACCGTGTCAGTTTAGAGCTAATGACTCCCTTCCTGCTCTCACCGTACCCTGGGGCCAGTTGACTTCCTGAAGTACTTTGTAACAGCTTAACCCTTTCATTAACCTGTAGGTGGGTTGCGACAAGAGGCACGGCATCTGGGGCAGCACTTTCGGAGAAACCAAACACGCTGGAAATTAGCCCAGCATTACTAGGATCCGGAGACCGTGGAGGTTCGGTTTTCGTTTGGAAACGGGTAGAAAGATTTCCCCCCCCGAATTGGTACTTTGTTGGCCGTACGCGGCAGCCAGTTGCGAACAGTTCTGGATTGAGCGACCGATTTTATTTGGGGGTCGTAGGGGGGTAATTGTCGGCCAGGACACCGGGAGAGGGAGAGAGAGAAACTCCCTTCTCGTCCCGAACACAAACGGGCACAGACGGAGCCTCGGTTTAATGTCTCATCCGAAGGGTAGCACCAACGACAAAGAAACGCTCCCCCCCAACACTGCATTGGAGCGTCATCTTAGACAATGTGATCCCAAGTCCAGACGTGTGGGGGCTTGAACCCTCAACCCGCCGATTCAGAGGCGGGAGCGCCAGCACTGCGCCCAAGCTGGCAAGTATGGTGACGGGGGGATCTGGGGCGACGGCCTTCCTGAGAACAGCGTATAATCGCGGAGCAGCTCAAAGCTATTTACAGTATTATCAGGTCAAACAAATATTAGCTTGCATGCTCTCGTGGTGGGGGTTTGGTTCTTTGTTTGTCCTGACTGCTGCTTGGTTTCTGTGTCAAAGGAGCCAGGACCCAAGGGGATTTGTACATTTTGCTTTTAAGGGAGGAAAACCCTTGTGTCCGAGGGCACCTGGTGCGTCGCAAAGACTTTTCCTACAAGCGAGTGAGCGAGCGAGCGAAGAAACAATGGGATTTTATTGCCACCTGGTGCAACATTCAGTTTGTTCATACAGGCGTTAGATAGTGTGCTAACGACTCACGTATCAGGATTGCCTGCCGGTCTACAACTTAATGCACAATGAGATAGTTAGCATCCTCCAGCTGTCTCTTCGTGGGGTACAAAGCAACACAATTATATCACTTAATTTAGGTTGTTAGTGCTCTGTCCTGCCCCCACTCCCACCCACCCCCCACCCCGCCTCAGGTGGGAAGGTTGTGGGTTCAAGCCCCTACACACGGTGAGACTTTGAGCTTCCTCAATGTGGCTCTATGTTCGAGATGCCATGAAACCATTCGCAAAAAGAAGGGAGTTTCTCCCAGTGCCTTGGTCAACAGCCACTTTCCGACTCTTCCACCCACAAAAATACAGTCATTTTACTTTACAATATATTCGATGAAGCGCTGTGAGACGTCTCAACGACACGGCAAGGCGCTGTTTAAAAAATGCAAGGATTATTATTATTATCTATGAAGCTGCAGTTGACTGCAAATACTTATCTACACGTGAGATCAGTTGCCTGCTACGTGTATGGAAACACAGACGCCATGTGTGAACATAAAAACATAGGAGTAGGAGTAGGCCATTTAGCCCCTCGAACCCGTTCCGCCATTCTATAAGATCATGGCTGATCTGCACCTCAAATCCAAGGTTCAGGCCTTTGCCCCGTATCCCTTAATACCCTGACTGACCTAACAAATATCTATCCACCTCAGTCTTGAACGTCAATGACTGGTTAATGAATGTCATCGAAGTGGTTTACAAAGGCTCTGGAACAAGAGGCTGTGTGGTGTAACAGAGGACACAGCTAGCAGAGAACGCCATTGAGTTTATTAATATGCATTACTATTTTTGGGGGCTGGTTACAGATTAGACTGTCTCATTCATTCCGGATGGCTTCTTAAACAAAGGCAAAGAGCACGCACACAGACACAGACACAGAGCGAAGGACTTTCTGATCACAGAGTAACGCACAGGCCGATGGGAGAATGGTCAATAAAGTGCTCTGCAACGCAAATAAAATACCTCAAGACCGCACATGCTTAAGCCAGGTCCTGCCGCCCACTTCTGGTCTATCTGTAGCCACAGTGGGCTGCTGACTTAGTGAGTCTGACAGTGACAGTGCATTCGAAAGCTTTGAGCTCAGAGAGGAACAGGCGGCTTTGATCCAGGAAAGAACACAAATCCTTCTTGTTAATCACTGGTAACTTGCATGGGGAGGAATAGGATGGCTTTCTGATGATGCCCAGTCTTTTGTCCAGGTTTAGCAGCCCCGTTCTTTCGGATAGCAACGTACCAATTCCTGTCTGCGTATTCCTTGGACTTGTAGGTGTTGAAACTGTTTTCCTCCAGCGATTCCATGAAGAGGCATTCGTTGGTCAGAGATGGCTGTGGGTAAACCAGAAGGATTTAAGAGGAAACTCGATCCATACAAGAACAACAACTACAAATTACACTTGTATCGAGCTTTTCATGTCAGGAGGACTTCCCAAGGCGCTGCAAAACAATAATCTTTGCATTATAGCCCCTTATCATTAAGATGTCTCAGAGCGCTTCACGGGTTATATAATGTAAAGTGAATTGATTGTATTTTGTGGGCGAAACGGGGCAGACAATTCCACGCAGCAGTGTCCCACCCGCAGTTGCGGCTTGAGTAACCTCAATTACCTTTTTTTTGGAGGGATTATTGCCCCAGGTACACGATCCACCAATCAACTAACAACCGGGTTCCTACGTACTGCTAAACAAACAGAGGCGTGTGGAGTGAGGAAACATGCCCAAGGTTTCACCTCGCCCTGCCCGGGAATCGAACCAGGGTCCTCTCACTTGCAAGCGAGGACTCTAAATGCGCTGCGGGGCGCTCAAGGGCCTGCAAAACCCACAGTCGCTCCACTTTACAGGCGATCCCGTGAAAGTGAAGGGCTTTTTTTTTCCCTGACGTGAAAGATGCCTGGACGAACCCAAGGATTATTCTGTTTGATTGAACTTTTATCGAGTGAGGGCGAGCGTGACTGGATTGCAACGGGGTGGGTTGGGTTGGGGGGGGGGGGGGTGGGGGGGGTGGAGGGCAGAGGCTGATCTGACGTTCTCAGTTGCCTTTCAATCTGAAGATTAAATTCCTCAGGTTTGCTTCCTGCCTGGACTCTCACATTGCACGCAGCCCTGCCAGCTCCCGCGGCTGAGGGAGTGGAGCTCCCATTGTCTGCAAGCTGTGATTTAGCAGTTGCCACCCCTATACTTAACGTTCAGAGAGGGGATGTTGACTTGTGGGGGTGTAATTTACGGCCTGGGGGAGGAAATAAAAGGAAGGAAAGTGAAAGAGGGAGGGATGGGAGGAAACGTTATGTCCGGGACACCTTGTGACAAACGGACAAAAGGAATTCTCCCTCAATTGGATGCACATATTTGCGGTGGGGCTGACAGGGAGGGAGGGGGCACCGGGACCTGTACTTTGAAAAGTGTTTCGGTTATCTTAAAGGCGCAGATTCCTTCACATCGACCACCTCACCCAAACGACTGTGATGTGTTGACTCGCGCCAGGCACGAGTGTTTGTGCGTGTGAGGCTGCGTCTTGAGAGTTAGTTTCGAGCCCCCGGCGCGTGTGTGTGTGTGTGTGTGTGTGTGCGCCTGCGCGCGCGTATGTGTGTTGGGCGTGCGTGTGGCTGTTTGAGTGTCGGTTATGTGTGTGTGTGTGTGTGTGTTTGTGATAAGTGTGTGTGGGAACATGTGTGTGCGTCTGACTGTGTGAACGTTGGTTGGATGTGTTTGTGGTGATGGGGTGGCGGTGGGGTTTGGGTGGTGTGTGTGTGTGTGTGTGTGAGAAACTGTTGGGTGGAGCGAGGGTGTGAGAGTGTGATCTGAGAGTGTGACCAGCCGAATACCAGCAAGTCAATGCCTTCAGAAGACAGAAAATTGGAGGCATGAGAAAGAAACGCATGCCATCTACCTGTGCAAGAGAGTGTTACACCAGTTTCGGATTGTCGGATAGGGTGACGGGGTGGGGTGGGGGTGGGGGGGTAAAAAAAAAATTGCTTCCTGCTCTTTCCACCTGGTCAGCCAGACAGGACCTCGATTTTAAACGCTTCGCTTGAAGGACGGCACCTCCCGACAACACGGCGGTTCCCACTCCCCAGCGTCAGCCTGGACTGTGAGCTCCAAGTCCTGATTTTGGATTGACAATTTCGGTCCTCTCGCGCGTCGGAGAGAAAGTGCCCGAGAAGGCCACTTACCAGCGAGTGCAGTTGTCCCTTCTCGTTCATCGCTAGGTAGCGTTTGGCTCGGATTCCCTCGATCACGACCACTCCGACACTCACAGCCTGCAACTGGAGCTGAACTGAGGAAGATGAGCAGTCGTGAAGCGTAATAATAAATCGGTCCCTTCAATCCGCGGCTGTGTGTGTGTGGGGAGACGCTGCCGTGTCCAATTGGCTGCCAGCGTTCCGCCCACAAAATATACGGTCAATTCACTTAACGGTACATTCTGTGAAGCGCTTTGAGACGTTTAGAAGATGTGATAAGGCGCTGTATCAAGTGCAAGGATTATTATTGTTATGAAGACATGGACTGTAGGACAAGAACCAACCGGATATATGTGTAAACTCCCCCAGGTCCGCACTGATCGAAATCTAGGACGGGAACAAGTGGCTGCGTGATGTGTTAACACAGACAGTCAGCTCGTGTTTGTGCCTTGCATCTGGGTGGCCTTTACCGTCGCGTGTGCGATTGTGAGGGTGGGTTGGAAGTGGGAGCGAGTGTGCGTGAAACTGTTCACCAAATCCACCAGCCTCAGCCCAGTTCTTCCGAGCTTATGATAGTTCCAATCGTCTTTGCATTAGTTACAGCTCCTTTCGCGTCAGGAGGACGGACGTCCCACAGCGCCTCACTCCGCCACTCCGATTGCCTGCCAAGCGGAGTGACGGTGGTCCGTTTTTGTAGGCGATCGCTGCAGCCCAATTTTTTTTGGGGGCGCATTTAAATCCTATCGTTCTACCAACGTCTCAAACTTCCACGCGGCCCTGGCCTGTGGGACCGCCAGGAATATAAGGTTCGCGCAGATTTGCGGAAAATTCTCATATTCGGTCTTAATTTCCTTTTATGTGGGAAAGTTGTGGAGTCCTGTAGCTCAGTGGTTAGAGCACTCGCTTTGCAAGTGAGAGACCTGAGTTCAATTCCAGGCAGAGGGCGAAACCTCGGGCAAGTTTCCTTACTCCACACAGAGCCTAATAATAATCCCTCCAAAACCAAAAACCAATAATAAATTGGTCATTTTCAATCTACGACTGTTTGTGGGACATTGCTGTGCGCAATTGGCTGCCGCGTTCGCCCACAAATATACAGTTAATTCACTTTACAGTGTGTTCTGTGAAGCGCTTTGGGACGTCCTCCTGACGTGAAAAGCGCTATATCAAATGCAAGGATTATTATTATTATTATTAAGGTGAGGCCCTTCGAAGGTCATCCACGCTGACACCTGGTGGCGGGACATCATCGGCGCAGCAGACTGGCAGGTGTGGATCCGGTCTGTGGCTCAGCGGTTGGAGCGCTCGCCTCACGAACGGGAGGCCCCGGGTTCTATTCCCGGGCGGGCGGACGGGCGGACGGGCGGACGGGCGGGACGAAATCTTAGGCAAGTTTCCTTGCTCCGCTCGCCGCAGTTTAACCAGCGCTACGTAGGAACCCGGTCATTAGTCGGTTGGCGGATGACTTTCCGGGGTTAATAAACCCTTAAAAAATATATATCTAAGAATTTGGTCACTCAATCCACGGCGGTTTGCGGGGACGCTGCCGTGCGCGCCATCGGCTGCCGCGTTTCGCCCACAAAATACACAGTCAATCCACTTTACAGTATATTTTATGAAGCACTTCGAGACTGCTTGACGACGTGATAAGGCGCTACATCAAATGCAAGGATTATTATTGCTATTATTATTATTATTATTATTATTATTATTATTATTATTATTATTATTATTATTATTATTATTATTATTATTATTATTATTATTATTATTATTATTATTATATCTCCTTTCCTTGAAGCTCTATTCAAATGTTCAGGAAACCAATGCGTTCGTGCAGGCATCACTGCTTCTAAATAGATTTTGAAACGATGCCCGAACCCTTGTACTCCTGGCTGTGTGCAGTCCTCAGTGAATTGAAAAACTGGGTAGTATTAGTGCAGTTGCCAGGCGACTCGGACCCAAACACTCAAACAACGCAGAGCACGGAACGACCGAAAACAAAGCAGTAAAAGTCTCACTGTACATGTCGCTTCGATCTCGAGTCCCTTCCACCGTTCCGTCGGGCAGGATCCGGATGAAATAGCCTCCGTTTTCGCAGTACAGGAGCTTGGGGTCGTTGTGGCACCCAGGAAGGTGGTTTAAGGAACCGGACAAGTCTGCCAGAGTTGTCACGGCCATGTTGCTCCCAGCCTAGTCTTCATATAGCTCCTCGCTCCTGCAATACAACACACTGTGTGAACTTCAATGAGCCCCAGGCTGGCAAGGCAGAAATATTATTGATGCAAAGGCAGAGGGGGAGTAAGACCTTCACGTCATCAGTTGATTCCTGCTTTATATTTCTTGCTTTCCCTCTGTCGCAATGGGCTGGAGTTAAAGCCAAGATTTATTCCACTGAAGATGCGACAACGATAAGCAAGTTAATGTTTTCTTACTGAAAAGTTCCAGGTGTTCTTTTGTGGCATGTAACCCGATCTAACATTCATTGGATCTAACCACGAGAACCTCAAAAAGATTTTAAGCACTTCAAGGAGAACTGATATCTTGCGCAATTGAATTGAATAAAGTGAAGTGAATATCCTAATTATTAGGAGGAATGTTTGCGAGGAAACCAGTCACTGATGATACTATCCCCAGCGTTTTACTGTGTGACAACAGGAAATTCCCACAGGAACGGAGATGCGAGTTGAGGCAATAACCCGTTAGCTGTGTCATCTGATAATAGTTTGGACTGGGCGAGAGTTGTACAAATAAGGGCACAGAAAGAGTGAGTTACATACAAGTGGCAGATATGTCAAACTATTAGTCAAAGGACTGCAGTCTGCTGGCGATTACTATGTAAACATACATCACTGAGCCTGCAACTGAATCACACACCAGTATGAGGAAAGGGAGAACCTTAAATTTTAACAGCACGTTAAAACAATATGTATACATGTATATAGCCCATTTCAAGTCGGGAGGACGTCCCAAGGCGCTGGACGGTCAGTGTTTCGCGCTCGAGCTGGGGGTCGGGATTGGGGAGGGTGGAGGGCGGGCGGGGGGGCGGAGCGGAGCGGAAGCAGGGTGTTCGAAGAGGAGGGTCTTGAGATGGGTCTTGAAGGAGGCAAGGGAGGGGGCGAGGCGGAGGGACTGCGGGATGGAGTTCCAGAGGGCGGGGGCGCAGTGGCAGAAGGCCCACCCTCCAATGGTGGGGCGGGCGAGGTGGGCCGGAGCCTGCTGAGCGGACAGAGCGAGCAGGATGGTAGGGGGTTAGGTGGTCGCAGAGGTAGGAGGGAGCAAGATCTTGAACCGTATCCTCTGTGTGATGGGAAGCCAGTGGAGTCGAGGATGGGGGTGATAGGATCACGGAGCCTGGTGCAGGAGAGGACACGGGCTGCAGAGGTCTGGATGATCTGCAGCCTGTGGAGAGAGGAGTTGGGGAGGTCGAAAAGAGCGTTTGATAGTCAAGCCTCGATGTAATGAAAGCATGTATGAGGGTTTCGGTGGCCTGTGGTGTGAGACAGTGACGGAGCCGGGCGATGTTGCAGAGGTGGGGGAAGGCAGAGCGGGTCATGGTGCAGATGTGGGGTAGAAAGGGTAGTTGAGGGTCAAAGAAGATGCCAAAGTTCTGGACTGGTTTAGCAAAGTGGAGTGTGCAACCATGGACGGTGATGGTGTCAGCGCCTTCAGGTGAGGAGGCGCTGACGGGAGCCAATCAGGAGGGCCTCGGTCTTGTTGACGTTCAACTGAAGAAAGTTCGCTCTCATCCAGGACTTGATGTCTGACCGACATTCTGTCAGGACAGCAGTGGGTCCTGGAGTCAAGGGTGGAGGCAGAGAGATTGGGTGGCATCCACATGCATGTGGAAGTTGATCCCATGTCTGCGGATGATGTCGCCAAGAGGAGCATATAGATATTGAAGAGGAGGGGACCAAGGACAGAGCCCCGAGGAACGCCGCACGAGACGGTGCGGGGGCTGGAGGAGAAGCCATTTGTGGGGATGAAGTGGATTGACTGTACTTGGAGGACTGCTGTGTTCAATTTGCTGCCGCGTTTCCCCAACAAAATTTACAATCAATTCACCTTGCAGTGTATTCTGTGGGGTCCTTTGAGACGTCTCAACGATGTGATAAAGCGCTATATCAAATGCAAGGCAAGGATTGTTATTGTATTAATATTATTATATGCAGAAAGGACGTAATAGAGTCTTAATTTAAGAGGAGCAGAGTCTGTACCTATGTAGCTTATAAAGGCAACTCAGCCAGACTGAGGATTTGGACTGTGCTTCTGATGAAGAAGTACAGGGTGTGCTGTGATATTTTACTAACGTTAGCTAGTACTGTTCAGCTTTGGGATTTGGGAATTCTGGTCTGATGGAAAGACATCTGGACATCTGGTCAAAAGGAATAATAATAGGATCCTGACTCACACAAATGGAGATTAATTCATGAACTGTTATAATTGTAATCATAATAATCCTTGCATTTGATATAGAGACTTATCAGATCTTGGAGACGTCTCAAAGCGCTTCACAGAATATACTGTAAAGTGTAGTGACTGTATATTTTGTGGACGAAACCCGGCAGCCAATGGTTTCTCTCCTGCCCCCGGGCCAAAGCTCCCACCAATATTGTGATGTGTTAGTTAACTCACTGTTGAAAATTCCGCCCAGCTATACAGACATACCGAGAGTGAGGTCACGATGGTTGGGCATTAGCAAGTTACCGCCTTAACTAAACAAATAAACCAGAGTCAATTCATCTTCAATTCATCTGCCACGTTTCGCCCACAAAATACACAGTCAATTCACTTTACAGTATATTCCGTGGAGCGCTTTGAGACATCTCGAAGACGTAGTAAAGCGCTCTATCAAACGTGAGGATTATTATTATTATTATCTTCGAGCTCTACCATCAAACCCACCAACAGTTGTTACTTTAGTTAGCGACAAACAACATTTCTAACAAGGCGTTAGGTAGGTTTAATGAGGTTAGCTAAAAGGGCGTTGGCAGTAAACACAGCTCATCTCCTGGATTGAGATCAAAGCTCTCCACAGACTTGATCCTCCTGACCTCTGCGACTTATTAAAACTTAACCAACCTGTCCGCTCCCTCCGCTGCACAGGCACTGTCCCCCTCTCTCTCTCTCTCTCTCTCTCTCTCTCTCTCTCGCTTTCTCTCCTATCATCCCAATAGCAAAGTAAACAGTCATTGTACACCTTGTCATTCATTAATCTGGAGCAGTCCTTAATCCACATTCAGCCTGACTCAAGTGTTTCAAGTGCACGACATCAGGGGACAGTTCACAGGTAGGTTGCACTACCCAAACCCACTGCACGGAGTTTGTAAAACTTACAGAGCGATCTTACAGTATACTTACTTGCCTTGTTTTACAGTGTTCGGAAGACATTTCAAAACAGGAAGCAATCAAGGAAGATTATAAGGAACGGATAAACAGACAACATGAACTGGGTGGGTGGGTTGGGGGTGGGTTCTTTGCGAAGGACTCTGGAATTGAAAAAAATATTTTCAGGAACGAGTTACTATTACTATCTGATATTTCTCCCCTCCTGCCCTGAGCAAAGCACGAACCGACAGCCCCGTGCTAACTCTCTTGAGAAAGACATTAGTCACGTACAAATGCAGATGGTGGGTGTTGGGTTCATCACCTCTGTCCCTGGGTTTATGTTTTCTAGCAGGCGAGGCCACACAGCATGTCGGAGCACACGGAACCAACTGCACAACGGAAATCCGGGATTCTAACAGGATTTCAGCGAGAAAGAACCCGAGCCGAGGAAATGGGGAAATCTTTCCAGTGACTGGGAAGCAGTACGTCACAACACTGAGTTTAAACCTGGGCTCTATCTGCTGCTGATTAAAAANGTAAGACCGGCATAACTGTGCCAACACATTTGGACAGGGAGTCCTGCAGTGTGCTGGTTTGAGCACTTGCCTCGCAAGCGAGAGGCCCCGGGTTCGGGTCCCGGGCAGGGCGAAACCTTAGCCAAGTTTCCTTAATCCACTCACCTCTGTTTACTAGGCAGTAAGCAGGAACCCGGTTGTTAGTCGATCAGTGGATTGCTTTCCAGGGGTAATAATCTCTTTCCCCCCCACCCCCCCCCCAATAAAATAAAATAACAATTTGGTCACTCAATTCATGACTGTTCGTGAAACACCTCTGTGCGCAATTGGCTGCCACGTTTCGCCCACAAAGGTATTCAGTCACTTCACTTTCCGGTATGTTCCATGAAGCGCTTTGAAATGTCTCGAAGACCTGATAAGGCGGTATTATCGAATGCAAGGATTATATTTTTTTATGATTGCTGGATTCCTGTGGTGTATGAACAAAACTCCCAACACCGTCCATTCTCTGTGATGCTGGAAATCTGCCTCGAGATGTCCTCTTCAATCAGTTGCCCACTTTGATGAGTGGTGGTGAGAAAGTAACGTTTAAACTGAAACACTAGATGGTGGTGTTCACTATTAAAATCAGCAGAGAATTGAGCCATTTTGCATTGTGATGGCTCAAATGCACAGACGCACGCAAATTTCAAGTCCAGGACTCAAAATTTTCCTTTGCATTTGACCCTTACCTCAATTCCCTCCACCTCGCTCCCTTCCTTGCCTTCTAATAATAATCCCTCCTAAAAAAACCCCAAACAATAATTAAATTGTTCATTTTCAATCTGCGACTGTTTGTGGGACGTTGCTGTGCGCAATTGGCTACCGAGTTCGCCCACAAAATACACAGCCCAAACAATACATATTCACTTACTGTATATCGTGTGAAGCGCTTTGAGACTCTCGACGACGTGATAAGGTGCTGCATCGAATGCAAGGATTATTATTCTAACAGCATTCATTTTCGTTTCATTTTCTCTCCTGAAGACATTTTGACTGTTATTGGAAACTATTGGAAGAGAACAGTTTCTCCAGGTGTCCTCGCCAACAATCCTCCAGATAAATTGGTCATTGACCTTAATGCAGGGGGATGATTATTATTATGATGATGATGATGCCTTTTCTGGGACATTCCTGGCATTAATGGCTTTTGTGTTTGACTGCCAAATAAAGTCAATACTTTTGAACATGACGTGTTTTATGACGTTTTGACCTAACGGAAAAAATCTTTTTTTTCTCTCTCTTTTATCTCCGTGTGAATTTTGCAATGTCAATTTAAGGTCGTGCTTTCGGTCGATGTTTGAATGGGGTGGGGGGGGGGGGGTGGGGGGCGGAGGCGAGCTCTTTATAAACAAGCTGCCATATTAATGTTATCGATAAAAGCTTTGCCGTAAGAGTAGGAAAAAAAATCTGGTTACGCATGACTCATTTCTAAATCCATAGCACTTTCCTTACTAACTAACCTCAGCTCACAGGGTTAAATTATAGAAGGAGACGTTGAACCAGCAATGATATTGCTATTAAATGGAACGAGAGCGTCTTTCAGTAGAAACAGTAGATCATCTGAAACTGGCTTGAATCGTACCAAAATTGGTTAACCCCCTATGAACCAGGCTAGGTTTGCTTTGCTGCCTTGCTACGGGGTGTGTCGGCCAGTCTGTCATTTGAACCCCTGGCTGGGGAAGCCTTCTCTGTGCCTATATGCCGTGCGAGGTGCATTTATTAACATGATTTCCTTACCTCTCTAGCAAACGGGGCCTCAGTAGGACCGTCCTGGCAACTGCTGTCAGCAACGTGAGAAGCAAAGGCCTCAGAAGCCTATCAGAGTGGAAGTGCTTAGTGAACGAAGTCTGACCTCCTCGCTCTCTCTCTCTCTCTCTCTGTCCAGTGCTGATACCAATCAGAAATGCTCACAGCTGACTCTCTCTCTCTCTCTCTCTCTCGCTCTGTCTCTCTGTGTGTGATGGCTTTGGATATGGACCTGTTAAAGACCAGAGTGTGAACAATCAATGAGTCTCTCTGCCCTTTTTTGGTGACTTTTTCCTGTGATATGGATGGAGACGTATCAACAACAACAAATCACATTTTGTGTAGCGGCTTTCACGTCGGGAGGATCATACCTTGTGGCGCTTAATCCAATCTGATGCTGTAACTAAATGTACTGAGTGTACACCTGTTATTTTTTCTGAGATCTTATATGGAATAAAAGCACCTTACACACAGCGCAATGCTCACTCGCTCCATCGTCAAAGTCAGTGAAAGTGGGGGAGCTTTGGGAGATCCGATAAATTACAATATCGTTTACAATTACTAATAATAATCCTTAAATTTGGGTTCGCCTCCTACAACCCTCCTACCCTCCACACTTCTTGACTCTAATCACCATCTTTGGTGCAAACCCTTCGCTATCCTGTGCCTCGGGATACTGTCTAAATGCAATTTGTTGTTGTTGTTGTAGCACCTTTCACATCGGGAGGATATCCCAAACAGTTTGACGATTCTGGCTGGGCACGGAGCTGGGGCGGGGGTGGGAGAGGGAGGGGTGAGGAGGAGAAAAATGACCGAAAGTGTGATCGAAGGGGCGCATTTTGAGATGTACCTTGAAAGAGGAGAGGGAGGGAACAAGACAGAGGAACCTGGGAATGGAGAGCGGACACCGAGTGGCTAAAGCCCACCGATGGGTGCGCGGATAAGGCGGGGGACGTGGAGTAGGTCTGTGTCAGCCAAGCGCAATTCTACACACGACAGAGGATAGGAGCAAAAGAAGAGTTTTCACAGCTTAGCAAAGCCGTACCTTTGCTACGACATAGATGAATCAATGCTCTGGCCTCTACCATTCTCCGTTCCTTTAGCCAGTTGCTAATCCATCCCCACGTCTTACTCTTAACACCCACCAACGCATGTTTGTGTGTACTAGACATTCACAGGCTGTGAACATGTGCTCGTGCCACAGATCAACATGACACGCACGTGTGTGCATAGTAGACATACATCTCTGAACACTTCACGTGCAACAGAGAACATGACGGACGAACACAGGAAACCTGTGTTGAGTGCGTGAGAGTAGAATCCAGAAAGCTTGTGTCTCTCACTTGTATATGTGATAGATCTAAACAATGCATTTGTATATATGTAGTCGACCTACATAATGGCCTTGTGTGTCCGCCTATGTCTGTGATGAGGAACAACAGCAGCTGGTGAAGACAGGCTCTGTAAAGTTTGAAGGTGAAAACTGGGCTTTATTTGTTCGAAAAGTTACAATATTTGGGTTGCGTTGTGTTGTGTGGGTCAGTCAACTCGAAGAATTATTCGAAAAGGTCCGAGACAGATTTTAGAAAGTAAATTTGCTTTATTTATTATAAATTTGTTGTTTATGGTGGGGGGGAGGGGAGCGATACTCTCAGTTAAGTGCAGACTAAACTGTAGCACATTTTACTTGATGTCATGTGTGTCATGTGTAGAGGAGAGGTATGGAAATTTTAACTCTTGGCAAACATGTCTGTATTTATATATGTGTATGTAAATATGCATATATCTATATATATATTTATATGAGGCAGGTAGTGACACTGGTTTGGAGTCCAACACATGATATCAATACAAAGGGAGGGGATTAGCAGATGCAGTTGATATAAAAGGATCTGGTCAGAGAGATTAGTGATGGAATTCAATACAAAGTCAGTACAAAGGTTGTTTAGCACAAAGTGGTCTGAAAGGTAATGCTGTGTTTACATTTATCGCAGTTTCAGTCCGAGAGGGAGAGATTTGGAAGAACGATGGGAGAAATATTGTCAATTATGGAACTATTGTACAATGTATTGATATGCGGACGTTATGTGTTTTAAAAAAAAAGCCTTGGTGTGTGAATGAAGTGACGAGATTGCCTGTTGATGGAATACTTGCCTTGCTATTGTGCGCTCATCAACAAGAGAGATGTCGGTAATGGAGAGTGTAGCGTTTGGCTTGTTTTGTTTGCGTTCAAGGGTCAGCAGTGGAGTCAGCGTACTACCCGGTCGGAGGCAGAGTTAGCCTCGCTTTGCACTGTACCAGCAATGTAGCTGGACCCCCCAGACTCCGGAGAGAGAGCTTTACTCTATCTTGTGACATCTCTGTCACCCTGACCTTGTTCTCGGATTCTGTTGATAGCGCTTTCATCTCCAGATCACACAGTTGTGGATTTAATCTTCACATTAGCTCCAGACCCATCAACCAGGTTGGCATTGGAGTGCAGTTTTGAGGGAGACTTTGCCAACATCAATAGACACGTAAAAATTGAGATGCTCTCTGGTCTTTGGAGTTGACTGGGGCACTATTTCGAAGAACAGGGAGCTTGTTCCTCCTGTAAATTTACCAATAAACGGATTATATTGGGTTTTGTATCTCATTGTTGCTTAGGGTGTGTTCCTGGCACAAGTCAGCACAGATCAGAACAAATCCAAGTACTGCATTTCCTCTTTATTAATACCTGCCACCATTAACGTGATGGATTTTCACTGCTGTGGATAGGAACTGAATTCAGACGTTGCAAACTCACTTCGTTTATAAACTTAGAGCCACCGGAAAGAGGATACTTTCACCCCAACAGTTCAGATGAGGGCAACATTCATCTCCCACTGTGGAATTCAGCCCTTGAATAGTTTATTTCAGGAGATTAATGGAAGAGGGCTGGAAATGGGGAAAATAACTTAACATTTGATGGACTTTAATGGGGGAAAGAACGTGTGACAATTGGGCAAAAAGAGGTAGAAATTTTGGATGAGGTTTATGACAACTTTAAGCCTTTAATCAATTCTAGCTTTCAGCTTGTCTTTTTGGCTTCCATTGCTGTCCGGTTCTTAACTCGTTCTCCGTGCGATTTTTCCTGCCCACCACCCCCACCTCCCCCACCCCACCACCCCCACCACTCACCCCCGTCCAGGATGATTTCCTGCAAGCCCGCTCTGTCGTTGGCTCAGTGTCTCTGCCGGAAGAAAGTGGTGCGAGAAGAGAGCGTTGAAGAGTCCCACCTCTGCCGTTGTCTAACAACCATCGACCTCATTGCCCTAGGGATTGGTAGCACACTGGGCGCTGGTGTGTACGTGCTGGCAGGAGAAGTGGCTAAGGCCGACTCGGGGCCCAGTGTCATCATCTCCTTCCTCATTGCAGCACTTGCGTCGATGTTGACCGGCCTCTGCTATGCCGAGTTCAGTACACGAATGCCCAGGACTGGCTCCGCTTATCTCTATAGCTATGTAACCGTCGGGGAATTGTTAGCCTTCATCACCGGCTGGAATCTGATCCTCTCGTACACCATAGGCAAGTACTGACCAAGTGGAATAGAAGCTGAGTGCAAAGATTATTATCGGAATGTTTTCCTATTGCGTCGGGAGTTCAACTCGTGCAGGCTAAGCCGATGCTCCAATGCAGCGCTGGGGGTGTGTGTTGCATTGTCGGAGGTGCCGTCCTTCGGTGCCCAACAACTGAGCTGCTGCTTCACAAAATACGCAGTCAATCCGCTTTATGGTGTCTCCTGTGAAGCGCTTTGTGACTTGCACGGCGCTGTAGCGAATGCAAGGATTATTATTATTAATATTATTATGATGATGATATGATTTGATCCCCCTCTCTCTCTCCCCTTCTCACTCTGATACAGGCACATCCAGCGTAGCGAAAGCATGGAGTGGCACATTTGATACCATAATTGGCAAACCAGTGGAGAGCTTTCTCAAAGGCAACGCTAAACTAAACTCTCCAGGACTGGCAGACTACCCCGATTGTCTTGCTGTGTGTATAATAATGCTTCTGGCAGGTACCAGCATTTCAGTAGCTTTGAACTGTTGTAAAAATGCCAGTCTCGCAGCGATGTATCTCACCCAGTGGTTTTGCAGCGCTATTCATCATCGAATGATCCATTATTGATCATAATGAATATTTATCAATAATTCCTTCAAAAGAAATGAAAATAATTTGGTCTCTCAAATTTGGGCTGCTTGTGGGGACGCTGCTGTGCGCAGTCGGCGGCCGCGTTTCGCCCACAAAATGCCCAGTCAATTCACTTTACAGTATATTCTGTGAAGCGCTTTGAGACGTCTCGAAGACGCGATAGGGCGCTATATCAAATACAAGGATTATTGTCATGCATAACCACTAATGAATAATTTTAGCAATCAATTATCTAATTTAATTTAATTTAAAACACCCTTCTCGAGCACTGAATTTCCTTTCTTATTGCCTTTCTTCTCCAGGTCTCCTGTCGATTGGTGTGAAAGAGTCGACAAGAGTGAACAAGCTCCTAACAGCTATTAACATACTGGTACTTCTGTTTGTTATTATTGGGGGGTTCATAAAAGGAGACATTTACAACTGGAACATACGAGAAGAAGACCTGATGAACATGACGGCCGAAGCACAGTAAGTGGGAATGAACGGTCCTTAGGACAGCTTGAAGGGTCAAAGCACACGAGCCACGACGAGAAAATGGTGGGGTGGGTATTCTGGACGGATGAGATCAAATGCACCGAAGGATCTTCTTCATCCAAACCTCTCTTGCGTCTCTGTGTGAGGAATTTTCACAAATGCGGTTTCATGCGGTAACAAATTCTTTGACGGATGTGAAATCTTTTCCCCTAACCTTCAGAAACCTGTCGTTGGTTGCGCACGTGGACAACGGCTATGGATCGGGTGGGTTTATGCCGTATGGATTCAGTGGAACGCTGACTGGTGCTGCAAGTTGCTTCTATGCCTTCGTGGGTTTCGATTGCATTGCAACCACAGGTAAGATGTGACGTTCTTATACAGCACTTGATCCCTTGGAATTTTTATTATCATTGTTATTATTCAAATAATGATTCGAATATTATCATTTAAGAATTTAAATTATTAAATTATTGTTATTTTAACATAACAATAATTTGGTCACTCGATCCACAGTAAGGCACTCTATCAAACACAAGGGTTATTATTAATATTATCATTATTATTGCGAGTTTAACTTGAAGAAATACAAGGATTATTATTCATGTTTTATCACTTCTTTAGGTGAGGAAGTGAAGAATCCCCAGAAGTCTATTCCCATTGGCATCATTACCTCTCTTCTCATCTGTATCTTGGCATATTTGGGTGTTTCTGCGGCACTTACTCTTATGATGCCATATTATCTGCTCGATGTTAAAAGCTCGCTCCCTACTGCCTTTGAGTATGTGGGCTGGAGCGGGGCTAAGTATTTAGTAGCTGTAGGTTCCCTGTGTGCGTTGTCAACAAGGTAAGACAAAGGTCGGGACTGTAATCTCTTCTATCAATTTCATCGTTCGTCCAGCAAATCCTTATGTTTTTATGAGAGTCTGAGCCTACTGCAATAGTTAGTGCAAATAAGACTCCATCTCATCTCTGTGCTGGAAAACCTATGTAAATCTTCGTGAAATTGTTGATTTTCTCCTGTTGGTCTGAATTCTAATTGTGAATTTTCCCCCTCCCCCATCGCTGGCAGTTTGCTGGGTGCCATGTTCCCTTTGCCCCGGATCGTCTTGGCAATGGCCAGAGATGGCTTGTTGTTCAAGGTTCTGGGGAAACTGAGCACACGACAGACTCCCATCGTCGCCACATTTGTGGGAGCAGTTATTTCTGGTAAGAGATGATGTTCTTTTGGGTACAGTGTTTTTTGGGGGTACAGTGTGTTTGGGGGTATGGGGTTTGGGGGTAATTAGATATACAGGCAAGGGAAAATAACCACCTGCTATGATTAACAACAACGACAAGATTATATTTGTATAGCGCCCTTCATGTCGGGAGGACGTCCCAAGGCGTTGGGATTAATACATTATGTGCCTTGGTTACTGGGGGGGAAAAAAAGGCACTGCACTTGACAGAAATTACACGTGAAGCACTTTGAGATGTTTGAACATTTCGCTGGACCTAACATTAAACACAAGGATTATGATTGATTTTAATTCGACAAGGGCACAAAAGTAGGACAGTATTTGTGTATGTGTTACGTGTTAGCCGTATAAAATCCGACATAGATAACTTTACATCAATCATATCTGATACGACTTATGCAAGTTTGCCATAACTCATACTGTGCATAAGTCGTGTAGAGCTAAATGCTATGGTCCCAACCGTTCGCACAGCTCTGGGACTCTACCCTGTGTGAGAGGCACTACGTAGATGTTGCGGTTGACTTTATGTGAGTTTTACTGTATTTCTAATGCTTCATACAGTTTTCTTTGCCTGCTATTTTAGCTGTAATGGCGTGCCTCTTTGACCTGAAAGCTTTGATAGACATGATGTCCATTGGCACACTTGTTGCCTATACACTCGTGGCAATGTGCGTTCTTATCTTGAGGTAAGGCACTTTGGGGGAGAAATTCCGTTCGGCATCACATGTACGGCCTTCGGCAATGATACCCACTAATCATCTGATACAGCGCTTTATCTCGTAATCGAGACATCGCAAAGCGCAGAATATATTGTAAAGTTAGATTGACTGTATGTTCTGTGGGCGAAACGTGCCATCGTTATGCGTATTACCGAACGGAATTTTTACCCCTCCGTTTCCGGGCAGAATCGTCAGCACGTTCACTTATACGCTGGGCGTTACTCCCGGACAAAGAAAGTATTGATTGGCGCAAAATAATTCTGTTTCAGACATCAGTCGGATTTCGATAAGAAAATCGCTGTTGAAATGAATGATGGAAACGGGGCCGGGCAGAATGAAGAAGCCATCAAGAGGTATTTGGTTTCCAGCTTGTTACTCTCTCCTCTTCAATTCCCGACAAGGCAGTCGTCAAATATCGTCACCTGTTGTGTAGGAATAATTGGTGAGTGTTCAGCTTTATTGTCTATCCTCTCTCTTTCCCGGGCCAGGCGAAACCTTAGGCAAGTTTCCTTACTCCACACGCCTCTGTTTACCTCGCAGTGAGTACGAACCTGGTTGTTAGTCGATTGGCGGATCGCTTTCCAGGGGTAGACAGGCGCTAACACGCCAGGAGCAAAGTTTGCAGTATTTCGCAACATATGCCTTGTGCTAAACAGCACAAACATTGCCCATCGTGCTCATCACTTACCAAATTGTCTTTGCTCACATATTGAATGACCTATTTCTCCATCCCATTGCCATTCCTCTTCGTGAGGATTTTCATATAATAATCCTTGCATTTGATATAGAACCTGACCACATCGGTTAGACATCTCAAAGCGCTTCACGGAATATGCCGTAACATGAATTTGACTGTATATTTTATGGGCGAAACGGGGCAGCCCAATTGCGGACAGAAGTGCCCCAAGCAGTCCTGGTTTGAGTGACCAAATTATTATTCTTATTCTTATTTATTTATAAAAAATGTAACTTGTGTTTGCTCATTTTCAGTAATCCTGTTCTTTATCGTGTACGGAATGACAAGTTCGGGGCTGGACGCTATCATAGCAGCAGAGATTGGGAGCATCTTTGGTCTTGTGACCCTCCTCTTGATATCAGTGGCCGCCGTGTTGATCATCTGGAGACAACCGCAGAATCAGACAAAGGCTCCATTTATGGTACAATACAATGCAAATGTACATTTATAAAGCGCCTTTCACATCGGGAGGACGTCCCGAGTCACTTAACAATACTGGCTTGGTGTGTTCCCAATGTGAAGGCCGCTATACAAGTGTAATTTGTTGTTGTTGTTATTGTTCCCACAGGAAATCAATGTGCCGCAATCTCTGGCACTGATATTACAAAGACCCGAGATGCTGTGCCCATAACACAACAACAATAATAATAATATCCACTTTATAATATATTCTGTAAAACACTTTGCAACGTTTCAATGACGTGATAAGGCACTGTATCAAATGCAAGGATTATCATTATTATTATTATTACTACTATTATTATTAAGAGCATTATATTTAATGAATCCTATTCTGCTCTCACCCCACTTTGCGGAAAGCTTTCCTTTCAATGTTTTTAAATCAAGGCTCGAATGGAAGGACTGTACCTTTGAACAGGGTTTCAGTCTGTGTTGAGTTAAGCAGAGCTTTATCCTGATTTGAGTGTCCCGTTGCCTGCCTTTCAAGGTGCCCTGCATACCATTCCTTCCCATACTCAGCATGTGCGTCAATCTGTGCTTGATGGTGCAAATGAGTGCGGCAACCTGGATTCAATTCTCCATCTGCATGGCGATAGGTAAGAGTCATAAAAGTTTACCTTAGAAGTACAGTAAACTCCTGATAACTCGACGCTGCCTCAACTTCCACTTTAGGCCATTGTGCTGTCAATATCCGGACTGCATTTATTCATGTATTTATTTATATACATGTCTAGCTCACCACTCCTGATAACTCGCCGCTCCTGCTAACTCGCCGCTCCTGCTAACTCGCCGCTCCTGCTAACTCGCCACTCCTGCTAACTCGCCACTCCTGCTAACTCGTCACTCCTGATAATTCACCACTCCCAATAACTCGCTGCTCCTGATAACTCGCCGCTCCTGATAACTCGCTGCTCCTGATAACTCATCGCTCCTGATAACTCGTCGCCAAGCCCTTTCCGTTGGAGCGATGAGTTATCATAAATTTACTGTGATTGCGACGGCCTGAATTTGCCATTATATTGCTGAAAAGCGAGTGCCTGCTCCGCAAAACGTCGCCAATTGACTAGATTTTGTGCAGTTGAATACTTATCGAAAGATTTTTTTGTTAAAGTTCTGTAATTCTGACAGGCTTGCTCATATATTTCTGCTACGGCATTCGGCACAGCGTGGAAAGACATCATCGGCAAGGGCACTGTGTCGAGGGTACGTTCGGGAACGAAACGTCCGCTGACGAGAACAAAGATGAGGTGATTTGAGGTTGATTCGGTGATCTGACAACATTTAAGATAGGAATCCACTGTGACAACCAAAAACCGGGGAACACCTCTCAAAGACAACAATCATTTCGCTTGACCTGAAAGTTTTTTTTTCAATCAAATCCTGAGAGCTGTTGTTGGAGTGAAGAACACGTGACTAAGGGAAAACGCGAATGAGCCTGGAAGGAAGGATGAGACAAAGTGGGTCAAACAGCCTGCTTCATCCGAAGCTCTCCTGTGATCTTGACCTACTTCGAGAGGAATCGGATGTAAGACATTGAATCAAGAAGGGGATCTTGAGAGCGACTCCAAATCGGGAGTCTCGCTTCAACGGAACTCGTAAAGGGAGTCGAAGCACGACTCTCAGAATAGCCCAGCCTGGTTAGTGAAGCTTGCTGTGGGTTGCCAAGTTCTACTGGGTTAATTCTTGCCAGAGATGTTTAATTAACACATCGGTGCATCGTAACATGTACCCCAATGTATTCTCCATCCCGCTTTCAGATCATACGCCGGCTCAGAGTTTACGCGTGAGCTTGCGGTTAGTGGATGACTGCAGGAAGGGTGTGTGCACAATACTGTATTGATCTTTTGCAGCAACAACAGTGCAAAATAATGGGCGCTAAGCAATACAGGAGAAAAACAGTCGGACACCGCTTTGTAAAGTTAGCTCAGTCACACTGACTCTCTAATATGCGGAATTCAACATTGTTGAGAAGAAATCCCAAATAAAACCAAAATGTTGTACTGAAGTTACTTACGTGATTCTACATAACACACGGAAGATAATATGATGACGTTTTCATTTCCGATCGATCGTATTTTGTAAAGTGCTTTGAAGGGTTTTTTTTATTGTGAAAGGTGCTATATAAATGTAAGCTATTGTTTGTGCGGTTGCAAGTTATTCCGATAGCAATTTTTTAATCAAGCAATCAAACTGGTTAATCTGCTGCTATGTTGAACCTCAATAACTTTAAAAACTTTGACATTTATATTACTGAATTCCTTTCTATTTCCAGGCACTATTTGTGCCGAGCTACTCTCTCGTTTACTTTATTTTAAAAGAAAATTCACAGCTTTTATAATAATAATAATAATAATAATAATAATAATCCTTGCATTTGATATAGCGCCTTATCAATTATCTTCTGGCTTTTCCCTTCAAATGCATGACATTATATTTTTCATCTCAGGATTTTTTTTGGTGGGGAGGAGCAGAAAGCTGGCAATCCGAATATTATATCGCGAGTATGATTATTAGAGGAATCTTGGAATGGAAAAACAACTCGCTTTGCAGAAGTGAGGGATTGCACTGTTCTGGTGCTTGACTTGTGTGTACAATGATTGTTCACTATACTTTGAAAGGCTAATAAACCTGAACTCTAATAATAATATAATGATTCCAACCTTTTTATTTGCCGTTTTCAGCCCGCTGAGCCTGTTGCGTTGTTCTGTTGGATCATCACGGCAGATCTCTTTAATCCTGTTCACCGTGCCTTTTTTCCTCGTCCCTACTTCCCAAATATCAAATGGGGTTCTTGAAGCCAAAACGGTGAAGGTTTGCCGTGAATGGTGCAGCCTGAACCAGCGTTGGACGTCTTACTTCTAAGATCTTTCTTTTACGTCAGCTGGGTGTCTGACGCACGCAAAATCCCATCACCGTCTCTGAACCAAACTGAGACCTCCATTCATCTCAGTTTACACAGGGAAATTCCCGTGTATTGGAACGGAATGAGCACTCTCTCCCGGGACGGACGCATCCTGCTTTCCTAATTCCCGGAGAGCATTAGGTACAGGCTGGCAAGGCTTGGGGACCCCAGAGTGTGTGATTGGGCATCTTAAACCTCTCTAAATGGAGACAATTTCTAAATATCCCAACCAGATCCCAGGGGAATGAACCTCTGCTGGTCACAGCTGGTAAAAGCATTGCAGTTGGCAACTCAATCTATTATCTATTTCCAGCTCATTCATTTTCCGGGTGTACAATTTACTCCCTAATCGCATGGCTGCTATAGGAAGTATTTTATGAGTGACCGCAGTGAAAATCAAGGCATATAACATACACAACAACCACTGTTACTTCCTCAAAGAGTTCCAATGAATTTGTTCAGCATGACCTATTTTCCATAGATCCACATTGACATCTATTTATTGCCTTTAACTCTCGCCAGATCCCCTCAATTACTTCCTTTTCAGCGAACCTCAACGATTTTTCCCCCTACAATTAACGTCAAGCTCACAAAGCCACAACTCCCAGAGATTGGACTGGGACCTTTTCCTAAAGGGAAGGAGTCGGGAGAGGAGCAGGGAATGGGAGCAAAACAGAAGAGAAAAGAGAAAAATTGAGGGTGAAGTTTGCAGCGTTAACTAACACAAGGAATGTGTTATGAACGCCGCAAATATTATTGCAGCGATGGTGGGAAGAGGGAAAGGGGGGGATGGATTACATATTTATTGTTGAATTTGTGTCAAATTAAGCTATTTCTCTCTTCCGAAATATTTTTCAATCATTGCTAAACATATGTGGTTGCAATACGCATCACCCCGTTGTATAATATATATAGCAAGGAGCTGAAAAGTATGCCAAGTATGTGGATGTTAATTGGAGAGTGGATGTCAGGTTAAGCAGATGAATGGGCTCATTGAGTTTGCCTTCTCAGCTGGCTAAATTCTTCCCGTTGAATCTCAGCCGGCTGTGAGGAGACTTTGTTCACCAAGAAATAGCTGAAAGAAAAGTAAATCCTGGAACCCACCCCCTTCGCTACTCCGCTGTGAAGTTTCTGAGACCATCACCTTAGTGTGAACTTCAGTCCGAGCTTGGGCTCACTTCTGCTCAGCTCCCTCGAAAACTTTTTAGAAACTTTCTCTACGCGTGATGAAGCTGAGATTTTTTCTCCCTCTGGCTTGCTTAGCCTGCCTTTTTCTACTGGAATTGGGTAAGTAAAATCGCCAGCGAGTTAGGGTTAAGTTAAGTCAACCGAGGTGAGAGTGCACGGGAATCCATGCATTTAACTCATCTCTATTCAATATTTCCAGCTCAAACCATCCACGTTAACAAAACGGTCACCGGTCAAGTTTTAACCGTCAAATTTTAAGCGATTATATAATGATGAAAAGCAAGCGACGTGAAGGAATGCGATTCTCGTGTCCTAGTGCCTACCGAGTCTTGTTTGGACGCTGTTTCACTGCGGCACTGAACTGGGTCGGGTGGATTCAATGGCGGTGGAGCACATCAGCCATGACCCACTTCCTGTGTAGCTCAGTGCAAGGACCATCTGGCTGTAACGTTAGCGATAACGGTGGCAAGCTTTCCATCAGTGGGATAAAGCAGTTCAAACTGGGCAGCTTCTGTATGTGCAACTGGTTGCCGTGTTTCACCGACAAAATGCACAGTCAATCCACTTTACAATATATTCCGTGAAGCGCATTGCGACGTCTCAATGACGCGATAAGGCGTTATATCAAATGCAAATGCAAGGATTATTGTTATTATTATTTCACCAAGAATATTCACCTCTCCTCAATCCTCAAGCACAGAAATGGAACTTAATTCCGCCTTGCTGTTTAAATAGACTGGTGTTATGTTTTATCGACCCGGCAGTTTTTGGTTAACTCGGCGTTTTTTTTTTTGTTTGTTGTCTCAGTGTTTTTTGCCACTTGCCAAGATCGCACACCCACCCATACAGCGATAAAACTAATAAGGTTTCGGCTTACAGTATAAGTGCGCGTAGAATTGTGAGAAAAGTCTTGAAAGCACTCTTAATTTGTGCGCTGTTTTTCTGCAGCTCTTAAGAAGATCAGGGATAGGGAAACAAGCTGCAGGGATTAAACATGAGGTATGTGATGTGGTGATTAGCACATCCAACGACCTATTTTTCACCTCTTTATTTTAGTTCGTGAAATGCAGCGGAAGTTCACCATACAATTCTGGGCCAGCTTCAAGCGCTCTGGGACGCTACCCTGCTTGAGGGGCGCTATATATATATATATATGTGTGCAAGTTGTCTTTGTCGTTGCAACGTGCGTGGAAAATCGTTTGTTTCAGTAAACTGTGTTGGTCGTTTCAGGGGAATGCCAGAAAAAGGAGGAGAAAGTCACCGAAACGGTGGGCAAAGTTGCCCGGGAGAAGCAAACCCCCGGCAAGAAGCTCAAACCCAGCGTCAAGAAGATCAAAGCGAGGAAGGAGAAGAAAACCATGGCCAAGGAGTCTCCACCGGTGTTTATCATGAGCCTGGCGATCAAGAAGGGAGTGTTTCAGAAACCGCCGGAAACCTTATCCGTCCCCGCTGGAGGGAGGTTTGAGCTGCGATGCAGAGGCAAGCCCATCAACTGGCGTTACCCCAGCTATCTGGACGAGGACGATGACAGCAGGTTCAGGTAGGAACATATAGGACCTGGATTAGTGACGTTCAGACCGGCAAGTCTGTTCTGCCGGTTATTATTTATTTAGCTGACACGTGCGGAAACCCATCACCGTTGCTTAAGAGTCTCCAAATCCAACTGAGAATTCCATTCATCCCACACCTACACGTGGAAATCCCAGAGATAGATTGTTGGAATGAAATGCTCTCTCTCTCTCTCTCTCTCTCTCTCTCCCTCTCTCTCCCTGGAGGGACGCCTCCTGCTTAACTAATTCCGGAAATTATTAGGCGCAGGTTGGCGAGAGCCAAGGCTTGGGGACCCAAGAGTGTGCTTTGGGGTAACTGCTGGACTCTAACCAACTGGAATCACATAGCTTGCCCATCGAGTGCCCTGTCCGGCCAGCTTTCCCGCTGCTTGTCCAGCAAGGACCACCCTACCCGTTAGGGTTTTGGTTTGCAGGGTTAACAAGAGTTTAAGGGGAGGATTCCCAGCCCCTAGTGACTGGTCTGCTCTTCCATAGTCCTGCTGATGAGTCAGGCTTAATCCCTGACCCTACACTGGGAGCCTACATCGACCGTGATCCAAATTGCGGCATGTGACGATATCACCTGGTGATAATTATCACACTGGCCAAAAACACGCCGCCAAAATAGTCACGACTGATCTCACGGGTGGGGAGGGTTGGACAGATTGGTGGTGTCTTTTTTTTTAATTAATGTGGCGGGTGTTTGTACTAGGCAATCGATAATTGTACTCTTTTTCACTTGCAGAATTAGCCACCGAGAGAAGTTCAGCCAACTGATCCTAACAAACACCACCGGAGCTGACACCGGGGAGTACGGCTGCTGGGCTCTGCACTGCGATGGGCAGAACTGCAGGAAGGACGAGTCGAAGACAGGCAGCACCTATGTCTTCTTCACCGGTGGGACCCACAGTCTGTCATTGGCCAGGGTTCACTCGCTCCTGACTGCCGTTTCCCTTCTCCCCCCCCCCCCCCCCCTCCCCACCCCACCCACCCCACACCCCACCAAGTTGCTACTGTGCTGGTCTTCTGCTGCGAAACCATTTTGTCTTAACATTTAAGTTTACGGTGATTTGTGGAGGAATTCTTAATTTAAAAAGGCGTTTTCCCTGGTGTGTGTGTGTGTGTATATGGGAGTTGGGGGGGGGGAGGTTTAGACAACGACCCATCACGAGATGGGAGAAGAAAAGAGGAGGATAAAAACGACAGGAAAGGATTGGACGCGGTGAGGTTTCGTAGCCGTAAGTGACCAAAGCCTCTGGTGCCTTTCCCCGTAGATCCACGTGAGCTGTTTATACCATCGAACGATTATTACGAAGCAGTCCAGCTGCGGACAGACAGGCCCACCAGGCTTCCCTGCCGAGTGACCAACCCAATGGCCAAAGTGACCCTGCACCGGGAATTCCCACCGGAGGAGATCCCGCTGGACGGGACACTGATCACGTTTGATGTGACGAAGGGTTTTGTTGTCCACAAGGCTGTGCCGTCCTTCGCTGGCACGGTTTACTGCGTGGCCAGTTACCAGGGATTGAGGCAGAGCTCAACAAAGTACCTCCTGATATTTGTCAGGTGTAAGTGTTAAGATTATCAGCTTTTATTTCGATTGAAATGACGTTCGTTTTCAACGTGGTGTAAAGTTTAATAATAATAATAATATTCCTTGCATTTGATATAGCGCTTTATCACCTTGTTGAAGCACTTCACTGTAAAGAGAATTGACTGTATGTTTTGTGGGCGAAAACCGGCAGCCAATTCCGCACAGTGACGTCTGTCACAAACAGTCGTGGATTAAGCGACAATGTTTTTTTTTACATATTAGACGCTCAGTTTTTATTTTATTAAAATAACGTTCACTTTCAACACTTCGAAACGGGATGGAAAAAAACCCAGATCAGTATTGCACTTAAGGATGCAACAAGTCAATAGACCAAAGAGGACATGGGTTTAAGAGATGCAAAGGGCAATTTCAGGTTTTTCTTTATGGTCTCTGTAAAATCAGTCACTACGCTTGACGGTAATTGCTTGTGAAGCACCGCGAGATGGTTCTTTATTCTTTCTGGAGAGAATTTAAAGATATTACGTTTAACCATTTTTTCCGTAAACTTGTTCAGATCCCTCTGCTCGGCCCTCGGCTGTTATCAAAGCCTCCGTCAGTTCAGCGCGTGTGGGTGAGAACTTTAATTTGACGTGTGCAGCTCTGGGAGAGCCCGAGATACCGGTGGACTTTACCTGGGTGTTTCCTGGGCAGAAGGTAAGCTGTTAAGTCTCAAGGGTTTAAATAGCGGCTCCGTGTTAGGGTCACTTTGCTTTCGGTACAAATGTTATTGATTATCGTATTCGTCCGATAATTGAGTTGAGTTGAAACCCATCACTTTCTGGTCATTATTTCCACTCCCCCTACTTGTGACCTCCTGCACCCCTACTGACCTATCCACTCCCTCCCTCCGCTCGGCAAATACCACGAACTCCATCCCATTTCCTTCTGCCTCATCCCCTCCCTCCTGAACTGGTGTAATCAGATGATCATTGTCATTGCAAGAGTTAAGGAGGAGCTCAGAGTATCGTTAGAGCATTGTAAATGGTCAAAGTCTTTAGACTTTTATCGTTTTAGTCTTAAAATTCAAGGTCACGTGTGATTTAATGTGGAACACCTGAAATTCAATCCCAGTCGTTCGAAAGAAAGCCACGTCCGATTAGATGAAGACCAATCTTAAGAATTTGGCACGTTTCCATTCTGAATCTTCGAACTTTGAGACAAAAGGTTTAACGTCCGGGAGGTAAAATTCTACACTTGAACACCGATGAGAAATTGATATATTCTGTCTCTCTCTCTCTCACTCTCTGTGTCTGTGTCTTTTGTGTCTGTTTCCTGTGAACAGTTGGGGAGACCAACCTACACCCGGGAGACCCAACGCCAAGTGTACATCGGAAGAAAGATCCAGCAATTGTCACAGAGCGTGCTTTTAGTGGATGAGAGCCGACCTGTGGATGAGGGACTGTATTCCTGCACGGCTCAGAATATGCAGGGACAGAGCACAGCGTCCACTACCGTCAAGGTTCTTCCTCACCCCAGTCCGGGGCAAACATAAGAGAAGTCCGAGCGTTTGAAAATCGAGGCACCTTTTGCGAAAAGTTTTTTTTTAAAAAAAAAAGTATATGAAAAGTATATCGTTGACATGAAGTAGCTTGAGTCTATGGTAATTGTTAGAGAGATCTATTACCTATTATTTTTAGTTTTGTTAAAAAAAATATTTTATTCATCCAAGATTTTACTCTCACCTTGTGAGTAAGTCACCATAGAATCATACAGCACAGAAGGAGGCCATTCGGCCCATCGTGGCTGTGTCGGCTCTTTGAAAAGAGTCAATCCCACTTCCCCCGCTCGCGCCCCCGTAGCCGTGCAAATTTACAACATTTACAGAATTTGCAGTATTTACACCAAGGATAGACTGAGATGTGCGTCGCACAACGGGACAGTAGAGGGCACTGCGTGTTAGCTACACAAGTCCCATTAACGTCAGCTTTTATTTACAAATATTAAAACCCTGGTATTTTTCAGGATCGATTTGTTTCCGTTGAAAATCGAGGGTGGGTGGGGGGGGGGGGGAGGGGGAAATTCACACAAAAAAAGGTAAATTCGGGTAAATTGAGTGAAAATCGGGATTTAAATCTAAGCGCTCCGGGACGCTACCCTATGTGAAAGACGTTATATAAATGCAAGTTATTGTCGATAATTTGGAACAACCATTTAACGGCACGGACAAGGAATTCCAAGCATTCCCAGGACTCGTTGACCTGTGTCGCGCCAAAGCGTTCCACGGGACACGCTGTAAAGTCGTGTGACTATGCGTATTCTGTGAGCGAAAATTCACAGCCCCCCCCCCCCCCCACCAGAGAACTTGGCGGGATATGGCAAAGGGTAAACCTCACTGTCCCTCGGAATTTAAAAGATTCAGGTGAAAATCTTTTTTAAATTTAACCGACTGCCTTTCACCCTTTCCCCCCAAAATTGGTTGCTTAGCGGTGAAAATACGAGATGAAAGCTGGATTTAACAATCCTTCTGCGCAGGAGACAGTGTGCGGGCGCTATATAAGTGAAAGTTGTTGTATTTTTAAATCCGTATCAGTGGTAATTTTACTAAAAGAAAATGACCTTGGAAAAATGAAACAGCCCGACACACAATAAAGTGTCCTCTTTTATTTCATCCTGTGGATTTGCATCGTTTTGACTCGTAAGCAAAGTTCAGCTTTGCGTAGCCGGTCACTTGCAGTTTGCTTTGTTGAGAGACTGGAGGTTCCAGGTTCACTCGGCATTTAACCATTTCATCTGCTATCCTGCATGTGGTATCAGGTGGGTCAACAATCGGATTATTTTCGGTCAGTTGGGCGCGAAGTGGAAACGCATCGCCGTCCTTAAGAGTATCACTGAGAGAATTCCATGCATCCCACCTACACATGGGTATTCCAAAGATTTATAGATTGCTCGATTGTAATGTGCTCTCTCTCTCTCTCTCTTTTTTCTTTCCCTGGAGGGATGCATCCTGCTTACCTAATTCCGGAAAGTATTAGGCGCAGGTTGGCAAGAGGCCAGGCTTGGGGACTCCATTTTGTGCGTTGAGGTAACTGCTGGAGTCTAACCAGCGAAAACAGCGTATCGCTGTGTGTCAGGCTTTCCCGCTGCTTGTCCAGCTCGGACCATCCTCCTTGTTAGGGCTTTGGCTAACAGGGTTAACTGGAGCTGAGTGGAATCACTCGCTGCCCCCGGTTCAGTTCTCGAAAGGTTTTTACACCACCTTTAGTTTGCAACGCGTCTTTTTGAAGGTTTCCCAGTGAGTTGGCTGGAAGCCATTGGATTAGAGGTGACCTTTCCTGTTCCTACTGTTCAGTGGGCCAAGCTGTGGTGGCCTCCTGTTCTTCAATGGTCTCTTGTAGAAACCTTTTGAAGTCCTGTTGCATTCTTGGCCGTGGTAGAGCTCTCTCTCACCTCCGAGTCACAAGGTTGTGGGTTTAAGCCCCCACGTCAGGACATTGGAATCACATAGTGTAACTGATGCTCCAATGCGGTGGTTGAGGTGTTGCACTGTCAGGAAATGGAAGCGACAAACAGCAAATGCCCCCTTAAAGGTATCGCTCTTGTCTCAGCCTTAACCACTTACTCGGCTTCTAGTGAAACACCTTCCCTGAGTGTCAGTCTCTAATGAAATAAGAGCCGGGAACACGAGAACACGGGTTCAGAGTTTGTAAAGGTCTAATTTCAGAGCAGAGACCGGTTTTAGTTACCCAGAGGGTAACCCAGATGGTACCTGATGACTGGAACAAGTTTTCCTTAGAAGGGGGGTTGAGGCCGGGACACTCGGACTCGTTTAAAAAAAAACCACACAGCTCGACGTAGGGATGGGAGGACGAGTGTTCGTGAAGGGGTGAGATCAGGTGGGACGAAAGGGCTTTCTTCATCCGAACCGATCTTGTGAGTTCTCCTCAGTGCCCGCCGCTGGCTTTGCCACCGTTTCGTGTAAGGGGTATCAGCTCTGCCGCGGAGTCCTGAAGGTCCTCTCTGAAGGCAATGCTGGTACATTGGCGTGAGACTCGAACCACAGTCCGAGCCCGGCTGCCAAAACCCCTGTCGGCAACCAACGGCAAGAGGAAAATGGCTCCCAAGTCATCGGAGGCCGGGTCGCTGGTGATAAGCTCCGGTCGTGCCGACACTCACCGTCACCTGGCGGAGATTTCCAGCGACTCTGGCTGCGGTTTCCACATGCTGCCCGCCGTGGGAGACACCTCTCCGTTCTCCAGCTTCCAGAGCAGCTCCTCGTTCTTCTGGCAAACCCGCTGCTTGGCCACAGACTCCTTCTCCAATGTCTGCTGTAGAGCCACGTGCTCAACAGAGAGTTGCCTAACGGCAGACGAGATACGGTAAGATTTTACGCGCACACACACACCATCTTTCTAACAGTGGTTAATGGGAGATTAGGTGATTTTGTTGACTCCATCTACTTGACACTAACTATGGTAAATCCGACAATGGAATCCTGTAGGGCAGTGGTTAGAGCGCTCGCCTCGATGAGCGAGAGGAACCTGTTCGATTCACCCAGACGGGGTGAAATGTTGGACAAGTTTCTTTATTCCACACACGCGCGCCTCGGTTTACCCAGAAGTAAGCAGGAACCCCGTTGTTAGTCGATTGATGGATGGCTTTTGGTGGGGGGGTGGTGGGGGTAATAATCCCTCCAAAAAAAAAGCGCTATATCAAATGCAAGGATTATTATTATTATTATTATTATTCGGTGAAGGATGAGACGTCTAATGACGTGATAAGGTGCTATATCAAATGCAAGGATTATTATTATTATTTATTATGGTTATTATATTGTTAAGAGTTCCTCAGGTACCTTGCGTAAACCACTTGATTTTTCAGCCGGACTTGCATGTCCTCGCACTCCTGCTGCAGGGACTTTATCTTCTCCTCAAGCGAGGCGTTCAGCTCGGCCTGAGATGGAAGGGAAACTGGTGTGAATAACCTCTCGTTTATCAGCCACGGGAAGCAAGCACGGTTTACGGAGTCAGCGGGCCTCGACCCCAGTCAAAGGTTTCATTCCGCCAAGCGAAACCTACCAGGTTTTCCATCCGCAACAGCTTTTTGTCCAGCTTGTGGATCCGTTCGTTCTTCATCTCCACCACAAACCGTAAGCTCTCGAGTTCCTGCTCCCAGAACAGGCTGGGAGGTCGCATGTCCTGCAGAGCAGAGCTCACAAGAGTTAGCTGCTCGGACCTCAGTTCCTTGCATTTTGTTGAGTTATTCGGCCAAACAGTAAAGCCCAACTCACAGGCAGAGTCACTGCACTATTGCAGTTAAATCCTGTGAAGCTCTTTGAGTGTATCAAATGCAAGGATTATTATTATTATTAATATAAACAGTTGACCTGAACATTTGGTGAGTAGAAATCATTGGCAGTGACTGGCCAGCAGAGAGTGCCTGTGAGTTAGGTATTGCTTGTCTTCCCACCCTGTGCTCGTTTCTCAGCTGCTACTAGTTCTGGGACTTCCAACAATTATCATGACATTGCCACGAGTCTGTTATTATCAGGTCAACTTTTTAATGCTAAAGTAGTAAGTGAATCAGCTGAGCCCACATCATAATAATCCTTCGGCCACTACCCGCCAAATCTATGGAACTCCCTGCCTCAATCCCTCCATCTTTACCCCTTCGATGCCCATCTTCAAATCGCACCTGAAGACTTTCCTCGTCGATCGTGCCTCCGGTCACCTCCTCTTTCGTCCCAGCTTGGCATTAAGCGCTCCGAGACACTACCCACGCGAAGGGCACTGTATAAATGCAAGCTCTTGTTGTTCCTGTTGTGCAGTGCCTTTCACACCCCAAAGCGCTTGACAAATTGATTGTGAAGTGGCGTGACTCTATGTTTGTAGGCAGCCCAATTGCGCACAGCAATAGCCTTGAAACGGATGAGCGATTTTATTTGGGAGGTGGGTAGGGGTGGGTATTGATTGTTGGACAGGACATGGGAGAAACTCCCAGAACCAGCAAATACCTGGTTATCTTGCCTGAGATCTCTTCTTAAGATTGCGTCCTCGATTTTCTTCGTCTTCTCTTGAAACGAGTTGATCTGGGCAGTCAGTTCCTCTATTGTTTCCTTCGGTAAAGGCATGAATATTGCACGAGATCAGAAGTGAGCAAACGCAGAGGTGGGTGGTGGGGGTTGGGGGTGGGTGAATGGTTGGCGCAACACGTGGACTGTCACAGGTGGGCAGATTTGCGGAGTTGGGGAGTTGGGGGGCACCTAACATTTGCTATTTCTTATCAGGATTTCTAAGCAAGGGATCAGAGTCATGTAAATTGATGCCGCACCTGATAGATAACACATCGCCCAGCTGCTAACATGACCAAAGTTTGGGAGACGGAAGTTACCCTCGGTTAGCGGGACTTCTTATTAAGGGATCTTGTTAGCGCCCAGTGCCTTGGGACGTCCTCCTGATGTGAAAGGCACTATTCAAAGGCAATTTTGTTGTTGTTGTTAAGAAATACCGCATTTTACATCCCAATTTTTTCCTGTATTTCAAAGAACTCCGGCCTGTGCATACTTCCCGGTTTCTGTGAGTTACTCGTATCTGACGCTATAGACACTTACCTGAAGGGATGAGCACCTGTTCTCCAAGGATTCAGCCAGTGATTTCTTCTCCTGTTTATGCGATTTTATCAACTCTAAGAAAAACAACAAGAAAAAGAGTCTAAAACTTCACGTCGATTTTCTTTAAAAAAAGCAAAGGGTGGAGGGGGAGGTGGCTCTTAAGCACGGTCGAAGAGGTAGGTTTTCAGGTGGGACTCGAAGAAGGGGAGAGTTTTTATACATATATATATACATACAAACATACAGCTATAACATGCTGTGACAGGTCTGGTCAGACTGAGATACACAGTACAGAGGGAAGGCGTTTTAACTGCAACAAATCCTTAGCAAAACAGAGTTGGTTCAAGCTCTCAATGTAATGCACACCTTTCCTTTAAATTGCTTAGCGCCTGAAGAAGTCAGAATCAGAGAGAAGTGGGCAACTCAGAACTTGTTAATATGGACTTCCGATATGGGAGCAGCAATTGGCAGTGTTGATAATGATAATCTTTGCATTTGATACAGCGCCTTATCACGTCATTGAGACGTCTCAAAGTGATTGGCAGAATATTGTAAAGTGGATTAACTGTACGGTTTTTGGATGAAACTCAGCAGCCAATTGCCCACAGCAGTCTCCTACAAACAGTCGTGGAGTGACTGATCCAACTATTATTCTTTTTTTCAAAGGATTACTACCGCTGGGTTTGCCACTTACTGCTGGATAAACACAGGCGTGTGGAGTAAGGTTGCCTAAGGTTTCACCCTGCCCGGGAATTGAACCCGGGTCCTCTCGCTCGCGATTGCTGTAACCACTACGCTACAGCACTATTGCTGTGGGGTGGGGGGGGGGGGTGGGGGGGGTTTTCCAACCAACCCGAAGTGGCTCGCTGCAACAGGGGACTTTTTCGCTGTGGAGAGTGCGGTTATAATTGAGTAATCGAGTTCCTGTATTTTGGCATTTGGATCAAGCGATCCCTGGACTGGTCCAAATTTACCCTGTTGGCAAGGGGAGAAATAAGATCTTCTGCAAATGCTGTTCAGGTGAGTGTTAAAGGCCCTCATAGGAAAAGAGAAGAGAGTTTCGCTTGTGTGATACTTCCCCCCCCCACTTCGCCTCCCCACACCCCCCACACCACACACACCCACCCATGACTGTTGACGTATGTGCGATTGCGAGAGTCGTGGTCGTTGAGTGCAAGACACTTACGAGGGGTTGAGTTGGGATTTGCCAGGGGGGGATTTGTAGGAATGGGGTGAAACGTGATGTTTTGCAACAGATTCGATGGCAGTAGCAGCAGCATTACATTTTCAGCACAGAATAAATATCACATCAAATGCGTTATGAAACACTGCAATTTCCCTCGGGCATTATCATTGTCCAGTGTTTGACTGGAGATCATGAAGGGGTGGGTGAGCAGAGCAGAAGACAGTCGAAATACCCCCTTCAGTGTGCCCCTCTAACCCCCCCACCCCAACGTTCGCTGTGTTGGTTTGCACCCCATTCTGAGGACGCTACCCAAGTTTGCAGTGGAGTCTTTATTACCTATTAACGTCGTCTCACAGTCTCCCCTGAGGGCCTGAACGTATTCAGAATGACGGGTTTCCAATTCTTCTATCTTGGCATTTGATTCTTTCTGGAGGTAACAACAACACAGAGGGAAAAAAAACACACGTTGTCAATCATTTACCTCTTGCACAAACACTTGCGCTGCCAACCTACAAAGACAACACCAGCCCATCAGATTGCACAAACAGTCAAGTCAAGTGATCAGATCCACAACCCTCTTAAAAGGGCCGATTTAGGAAGCATTAATGTTGAGATCTCTGTTGGAATTCAGAAGCTTTCTCCATCATCTTAGCTCTAAGAGGTTAATGCACTTCACTTTTGGGGGTTTGTTGAGGGCACGGAAATTAGTGGTGCCATTTGACATACAGCAGGAAGATGGGGCAAGTGGTAAACCGAGGGTTACGTAATGCAGGACTATTTAAAACTTTTATCCCATTGTCTCCCAATCAATAGATTTTATAACCCGTATTTCAATTCACTTTGCAGTATATTCTGTGAAGCGCTTTGAGAAGTCTCAACGCAACAACGTGATGAGGCGCTATATCAAATGCAAGGATTATTATTATATCTCCCAGTTATAGTCTCGATAACTAACCCACGTCTCCCATTTTAGACTCTCTATAACCCATGTTTTCGCGTGTCTAACACCTATTTATTTATAATACAAACCTTTTCCTGCAATTCTTGTCTCAGTCCTTTAACCTCCTCTGTGTGCCTGAGCTGGAGCTGTTGCTTTTCTGCGGCGTGGGATGCAGACAGATTCTCCTTGAGCTGTGTGAGCTCTCTGTCGTGCTCCTCCCTGATTATCTGCAGCTCCTTCTCATGTCCCTGCAAAAATGTGGCTTTCGCCTTCTCCAGCTGATTGGAAGCACCCACCGATACATCTGGAGGAGAGTGAGGGAGCGAACAAAAAAATCATTAACTAGCGTTCGAAGGGATCACGCATGAAGTATGTATACTCCAGGTGTCTCCAGTAAGGCAGAATGCTAGTCTTGCTTGCTTGGTAGTACTCATGCTCTCACCATCATCGGTGGCCGGGCCTTCGCCCTATCTGCCCCCACCTTATGGAACTCCATCCCACATTCCCTTCGCCTCGCTCCCTCCCTTGCCTCCTTCAAGGCGCGTCTTGAAACCCTCCTCTTCGACCGAGCCTTCGGCCACCCTCCAAATCCCCGACTGTCCAGCACCTTGGGATATCCTTCCGACGTGAAAGACCCTTTACAAATGTAATTTGTATTGTATCGTATGCCTTTCCCGGTAACTCAGGTGGATCTTAAATATCCCGTCTCCATTATTTTTATCGTGGGCGGGCAGGTGGCGGATGTTGTTCAGTGTCGCCAAATGGGAAGTTGCACTTTTTAGGGGAAAACGAGTGAAGGAAGGAATTATACCCTAAATGGCAATGTTCCTTGATTCTATTTCGAGGAGTGCAGCGAGTTCTTCTCGTGTCCTGGAGCCAATGTTCCTCCCACATCCAAATGTACTGCAAGCAGATTAACTGGTTATTCATCTCACTGCTGCTTGTGGGAGACGAACAAATGATCCCATTCCTGGCACTGAGTAGGTACACTTCAAACTAAATCTCAGTGGGCGTAAAATCCGTTTGAAACGTTTCAGCTTGATACGGTGTTAGATTGCAGGGTTCTCCGGGTAGATTTGGCCATTCACTTTGTGACTGTCTGTGGGGCATTGCCGTGTTCAAATTGACTGCATTTGCCTACAAATTACAGTACGTCAGTGGCCGTGCTTTCAGCCATTACGCCCGGAAGCTTTGGAACTCTCTCCCGCAATCCCTCCGCTCTGCCCCCTCCTTCCCCTGTTTTCAGATCACGCCTGAAGACCTTCCTCTTCGACCGTCACCTCCTCCTTCGCCCCAGCTCGGCGTCAGGCACTGTTAATGCTACCCCGCACGAAGGGCGCTATATACGTGCAAATTGTTGTTGTTGTTATATCCTGCGAAGGGCTTCAGAGCGTGGGTGAGCCCTGTGGAGATCTTTGCAATCAGTAACAATCTCTTTCTATCAACTTGGTAACAAGTCGAATCGTCAAGCGAAAGGTAGCGTTCAACTTGGAGACACAGTTCAGTCCATTAAATCAAAGCCGAGGGGGTGGGGAGGTCCTAAACATTTAACTATAAGTGTTATTCAAAGTGCCACACAATCCAGAGTTCAATGACAATTTCTTACCATCTCCTTGCAATGTCACTAATTCTTGAATCGGTTCTTCATGTTGTTTTGATGTGGTTCCCTTCTGTTTCTTTTTTAAAAAAAATAGAAAATGAGTGATTTATTCAGTGATTCGGGGCACACAATTCGCATCTTAAAGGCAAATTTCTCTCACTGCAAGTACGTGCTTGCAATAATTCAGCTGCGATTGCGAGAGTGACGCAATGCATCTCTTCACTACAAAGTAATAATAATAATAACCCTTGCATTTGATATAGCGTCTTATCACAATGCTGAGACGTCTCAAAGTGCTGCACAGGTTATATTGCAAAGTGTAGTGACTGTGTACTTTGTGGGCGAAACACGGCAGCCAATTACGCACAGAATTGTTCCGCAAACAGTCGTGGATTGAGTGACCAAATATTTTTTTGTGCGGGGGAGGGATTATTACCCCTGGAAAGCGATCCGCCAATCGACTAACAGCTCAGTTCCTATTCACTGCTCGGTAAGCAGAGGTGTGTGGAGTAAGGAAACTTGCCTAAGGGAAATTCGCTCCATCCGGGAATCAATACTCAAAATTCTGGTGTGCACAGAAGTTTCTATAACCTCTTCGGTGTATCCTGTACCTTTCGTGGGACCTAATTGTGTGCAAATTGCCCCGTGTGTTCGCTTACAAATATAGACACTGCACCTGACAGCAATTCTCTGCAAAGTGCTTAGAGACATTTCTACATTCTCCTCATTTGTAGACTGATAGTCTCTCTTGCATACCGTGCTGTCACTCTATCATCTAGTAATAATAATAATAATCCTTCCACTTGATACAGCGCCTTATCACGGCGTCGAGACGTCTCAAAAGTGCTTCACAGGATATACTGCAAACTGGAGCGACTGTATATTTTGTAGGGGAAATGGGATAGCCAGTTTAGTTTAATTTAATTTTACAATCTAGCGTGTGAGAGCGTGAATCTCTGCTAGTCTCACTAATGCCACCCTTACTCACACGTCCTATAATGTTCACCTGCAAAAACACACAGTCACTGCAGCTTTACGCTGCATCCCACAAAGCGCTTTGAGACGTCACAACCACTTGATAAGGGCACTATATTGTCAAATGCAAGGATTATTAATATTATTCTTATTATTACGCTCAAAGCCTTCACAGATACACGAAAATTCGGAACGCATTCAAACAAAGCTGTGGTGATCTTCTGCACCCGACTGCCGGGAACTTGATCATAACTGATTAAAAAAACGCTTGCGTTTCAACCTACTTTGACACATCCTGTGTTGAGGTGGCTCTGTCGTTAGCAGTAACAGGGCGACGTATTTTCCATCTCAAACACTCCCTTACGGTAACCCATGCCCTCTCAGAAGCTCCCCGTCCAGGAGAATTTCCACCTGGCTCTTAGATCGACCGTAGCATTCGGGGAGCATCCAGAATTTGGTAAGTTGTTGTCTTGCAATCTTACCTCTGAGGTAGGTTTCCTTTAAAGTCTTTGAAGGAAATTCGCAGAGAGAGAGAGCGAGCGAGAGAGAGAGAGACACACACACACACACCACACACGCAACACAACACACAACAGCTTCGAAATTAAGGCTCAGATTTAAGAGTTCACTAACTTTTCCGGACTCTTTCAAACTCGACACGAAATAAGAGTCGGTTTCGACCCCAGGTTGAGGAGTTTCAGACGAGTGAACTACGAGTCGAAGAGAACCTTGTTTGGATCATAGTCAGCGCAGCTGGCGTTCAATGATGCATTTAGCCGCCCACAGAGCGAGCGAGAGAGAGAGAGACACACACGCGCGCACGCACATGCACACATGCTTGCCTTCGAACTAACTTCCCCCCCAAGCGAGTGAGTGAGAGAGAGAGAGAGAAAGAGCGAGAGACAGAACAGACGCAAAGTTGACGGAAACAAGGCGACTCAAAGCTTTTACCTGCTTCTTGTAGCAACGACACACTCTGCTCCCGCTACAGCCCATCGTCCAGTCTGATTGAGAGAGCTCTTCCCCACTCCCTGTGGGAACATCAGAACTCCTCTAACGCTTTGGCAACTTCGCCAGTGTCTTTTTGAGCTGAGCCCAGGGCTCGGCTGTTTGAACTTGCGGTTAATACTGAGTTACCGTAATTCCTGTAAACTGCCGGCCTTCGGAAAATAATCGGCTTATAAACCTTCCCCTCCCACCCCCACTTCAGCTGCTTTACCACTCCCCCCACACCCCCGCCACCGCCACTCTTAACATTGAAAGAAACAACAAAGTCCAACTCTTTTTGTTCCAGGATCCACACCTCCCTCCCTCCCCCCCCCCCCCCCCCCACCCTCACCCCCACCAACCAGGGAACTTTTGATAGTGATAATAATAGTAATAATAATAATATACTGTAAAGTGAATTGACTGTATATTTTGCGGGCGAAACGCGGCAGCCAATTGCGCACAGCGCCGTCCCCACAAACAGTCGTGGATTGAGTGACCACATTTTTTTTGAGGGGGAGAGATTATTACCCTAAGAAAGTGATCCGCCAATCGACTAACAACTTACTGTTAGGTAACCAGAGGCGTGCGGAGTAAGGAAACTTGCCTTAGGTTTGAATGTTGGAGAGTGAGGTGGGGGTGGGTGTAATAATAATAATAATAATAATAATAATAATAATAATAATAACCCTTGCATTTGATATAGCACTTTTGTCGCCTTCTAGACGTCCCAAAGCGCTTCACAGAATATACTGTAAAGTGAATTGACTGTATATTTGTGGGCGGGTGTAGAGGGAAGAGGCAGGTGGAGGAGTTGGTGAGCGGAGTGATGGGGAGGAGAGAGAGAGAGAGAGAGAGAGAGAGATAGGGAGGTCGGAGGGGAGCAGAGGTGTTTCTTACTGGAAGAACAGTCCCGTTGGCAGGGGGTGAGGTGGGTTGTGCATTTATTACAGCAGCTCATTTCGTGCGTTGTTGCAGGTTTATGCTGGATCAAAACGCTTTTCTCCCCCTCACCCATGTAAGGAAATTATAATAACATGAGTCTGTTGCACATTGTTTGAGAGAAGTCTAAAAAAGGACAAGTGTGCGCGTAGTTTTTTTGGACTTCTCTTAAACACATCACAGTCATCCTCTTGCGGAGGTCAGTGCAGTCAGAATAAAAGTTCAAGTGAGTAATGCATGAGTTACTCGGAGGAGGAAGGGCTTTGCTTGTTGTGAGAGGGAAGGAAGGTGGAGGGTAGTAAAAGTGGGAGACTGATGGAGGTCAGCCGAGGGGAACTTACCCACACAGACTCTGGTGGGGGACGGAGGGGAGAGAGATTGCAAAGAGGGAACAAGCACATGCACATGTGTATATACACACACATGCGCTCACACACACACACACACCCTTACACACTCATACACCCTCACACCCACACATACACACACACACACACACAATTCAAGCCCAAAGATAGAAGAGAAAAGAGATCACTAAGGAAACTTGACATTTTTCATTTCTAAAGTTTCTAAACTTCCTGAATTTCACACAAGACACAGTTGCTCCACTTTGGAGTATATCGACTTTACACTAAATAAATGCAAGGTGTTGAAACGCTTTGGGATGTCCTGCCGATGTAAAAGGCGCTATGCCAATTGTAAGTATTATTTGTTACTGTTATTATTTTTCATCAGCCGACAGTCTGACACACGTGGAAAATCTTGGTCATGTTTAATAGCGTCCGAGCTAAACTGAAGGTCCAACATGTGCATTCTCTTTCCCTCCGGAAAGCCGCACCCTGCGCAGCTAATGTGGGGAAAGTATTGGGTACAGGTTGGCAAGAGCCAAGGCTTGGGGGACTCCAGGGCTAACCTTTGGGATAACGTTTGGGGTTTAACCAGCGCAAACACTGAAGAAACAATCTGCGTGCTGTTTAGCTGGCTGCAATATTACGAGAATTATGGTCAGTAGGAGTGTATCCTTATTGACAACAGGGTGCCTTGCTAATACTGCATATCGTGAGGCTTCTATTTGTCGTTGTTATCAACCCTCAAGACAAGTGATGGTTTGTGTTACACATATTAACTTTTGAAGTCATGTGGACCAGCCGGTGTAATGTTTCAGCCTGCCAAAATGCCAGCTCGTTCTTCACGCAGACAAGTTACACGAAGAGAGGGGCGTTATTTTTAACCCGACTTAAATAGAGATAATGGAAACAGTTGTCACCGTGAGGCTGGCGCTATTGGAAAACTAACACTGTGCCTCCTTACGTCCATTGCTTCCTCCTGAGTTCCCAAATATGGTTAAGTGAATGAAATGGCATTGATTCGCTTGAGGAATATTCTCTTTGTACACTGCGTAAATTAGGAGGATTTTCTTTCTACACAGAGGGGCTGTTTCGATGTGCAATGCCCTGCAGTGGTCAAGGCAGAATCCACATTAACTGTGATGAGCAAACTGGTGGATAGATAGATACGGTGTAATAATAATCCTTGCATTCGATACAGTGCCTTAGCCCGTCGTTGAGACGCCTTAAAGTGCTTCACAAGAATATATCGTAAATTGAATTGACTGTGTGCTTTTGTGGGTGAAACGTGGCAGCCCCATAAACAGTCGTGGATTGCATGTCCAAATTTTAATTTTCTGGGAGGGATTATTACCCCCTGGAAGAGATACGTCAATCGACTAACAAGCGGGTTCCTGTTTACTGCCAGGTAAACAGAGGTGTATGGAGTAAGGAAAGTTGCCTAAGGTTTAGCTGTGCTCAGGAATCAAACCTGGCTCCTCTTGCTCCATGCGGGGCAAGTGCTAAGCAACAGGACCGTTGCTCAATGGTTAGAGAAGTCGCTCTAACCGCTAAGCGACCGAGAGAAAAGAGAAAGCAGTCATTTGCAGTAGTGTAGCGTGTGTGAAGGTAGATCGTGGATTGCTCTCTCAAAGAGCCAGCGCAGTCATGATGGGCTGAACGAGCTTCTGCTGTGCTTGTACGGTCCTACAGAATGCTAGTTATTTGGTCGACCCAGGCAAGCCGGTAAGACCGCTCAAAAGATAAAGTTGATTTGTGGATTCATTTTTAAATTCAGTTTTAAGCTGGAAGCTGGTTCCTTTTTCTTTAAGAACTGCGGCAAAGCAGTTTAGTGGACCTGCGGGCTCCTGGCTTCTGCTATTGTGTTTCTGTGGCTTTGTAGTTTGTGACTGAGATTGTTTCAAACACAATTCCTGAGATGGGTGTGTGAGGAGGATATCACTCTCACGTCTGGATTACTTCAAGTCCTGTGTCAGCCTCGAGCTCACAATCCACATATTGCATGAGCACAAGATCGCAGAAGTTGGTCTGGACGAAGAAGGTCCTTCAGCTAAAGAAATCTCATCCTTCCAGAACATCCATCCTACAGACCCTTTGCCCCCCCCCCACCGCACCTCCAGCCCACCCCACGCCTGCCTGCCTGCCCCCATCACCTCCCCCATCACTGCATCTCTCTGCTTGTTAAATGAGTCCAATGTCCTGGCCTTTACCACCTTTCTACCTTTCTGATGTACTGGAGGAACCAATTTGCGTACAGCAATGTCCCAAAACAGCTGTGACGTAAGTAAATGACCAATTTATGTCGGGGTGGGGGGGGTGAGGGGGGGTGGGGGGGGTTGTGGGCCAGGACACCGGGAGAGAGGAAATCCCTTCTCTTTTTGAATAGCGCGATAGGATCTTTAACATCCACCTGAGCAGGCAGGCGGGACCTCGGTTTAAATACCCACCCGAAAGACGGCGCCTCTGACAATGGAGCGTTCCTCCCAGTACTGTATTGCGTCGGCCCAAGACTGTGAGCTCAAGGTCCCGAGGTGAGGCCTGAACCCACAACCTTCTGAGCACGCTAGCGACTGAGCCAGGCTGACACGACTGCAGTCTCTTTACACGACATAGATTTACTTCCTAAACATGTGTGGCGGCGGTGGTGGTGGTGGGGGGGGGGAGTGGGAGGGGGGTGTGTGTGAACGTTGCTTATCTTTCAGGTCACGCTTCCTGTTATTCGAACAGGAAATGTACTTTTTATCTCTTCGCGTCTGCTGCGTGTCAGATTGTATTTGATTTGACGCCGATGTATTGTCCGGCTTCCATTGCAGGCAAGTGCGGTGCTATGGCAACTCTCTTTAAACTCTCCTGGTCTTTCCTCCCCGGTCGAGGATCAGCATCGCTGTTGTGCAAAAAAAGATGTGTTTCGATTGCCTTGTGGTCCTCAACCTTCCAAGTCGATGCCCAATTTTGCGGCAGCTATGAAATGTCGCGCGTGGCACTCCCAACCGTGGAATAATAATAACACAATGAGAATAATCCTTGTGACTCGTTGAGACGCCTCAAAGCGCTTCGCAGAATACGTCGTAGAGTGTGGTGACTGTGCATTTTGTGGGCGAAACGCGGCAGCCCCATTGCGCAGCCGTGGATCGAGCGACCAAATTATTATTATTATTTCGGATCTTGGTGGCACAGCGTCAGTCTTCGGGCATGGCATCCTGGCGCAAAGCGAGCGGCACGACGTTGGAAGTACTGTACTCCATTGCGCGCTGGCAGTCAGTCTGTCAGCCTGTTTGCATCTCAAAGCCCATTGCCAACCGACCACCTTATTAAGTGGCCGAGATCTTGTCAGCGCAGAGAGAACGAGGGACTCGAACAGAACCTGGGTCCCGTTTGTTGCGCTTATTGTGAGAAACTCACCACTGTCTGGTAATGCTACATTCCTGTCGCCCAACTCCCTAACCCCCCCACAGCTCTCCCCTCCTTCCCCCCTCAAAAGAAATGGTGCATCTCATTCCAAAGGCCTGTAACTTGGCAGGTTTAAGAACAACAGTTTACATCTGCACGAACGGTTCTGTTAATATTTCTTCCCACTGTCCAACAGAGCGATGTGTGTGTGTGTGTATATTTCGGGCTATGATTTAGTGCTGAGCATGACTTCTAATCCCTGCTTCTCTGGGCTCAGCTATTCTAATTGGGCACACGACCAACTCCTTAATACTGTTGAAGTTAAATCCCAGAAAAACTCCCGATTAATTTAATGTTCTCACTGTCCTGACTGTGAGGTGTCCAGGACCAGGGGAGCAAAGGTTCACTCGACAACCTGTTGTGGAGTCCTGTAGCGTAGTGGTTAGAGCACTCGCCTCGCAAGCGAGAGGCCCCGGGTTCAATTCCCGTCAGGGCGAAACCTTAGCCAAGTTTCCTCACTCACCTCTCTTTACCGAGAGGTAAGTAGGAACTCGGTTGTTAGTCAATTGACGGATCGCTTTCTGGTGTGTAATAATCCCTAAAAAAAATTTACTCAATCCACGACTGTACATTCTGTGAAGCGCTTTGAGACGTCTGAACGACGTGATAAGGCGCTATATCAAATGCAAGGATTATTATATTATATATATCAGGAGGGAATCCGACTGTTCCTACTATTATGTCCTTCAGGCTCCAGTGAGATTTACGTTCAACACCCCCCCCCTCCTCCATCGGTACTTTACATTGGACTTTCAAGGTGAATTACGATCAAGATCACACCAATCACACCTGTGAAATATATAGGCTAATTGTTGCAAATGGCCACATGAGATTCACGCACACACACTACGACACACAAGACATACCTATACACACAATGGCACATAAGACACACACATACGCGCACACAGACTGAGACATGCACAATATGTTGAAGTGATTAACTTGTCAGAGCTCTGTTGTATTTCAGTTGATCCCCTGGTGGAGTGAACACCAACGCCAGGACGAGAGCAGATTACATTATGCATAGGTTCGAGGTACTATCTGGGCCTCTATTTCCAGAAACTATCCAAGACGACAGATCTATTTAAGAATGTTTCCATGTCCTTAACAACCTCCTTTGTTCATTGAGATCTGGCTGTTCTCATGATCCCTGTTATTCCCGTAAAATCAGCTCAGCTCCGAGCGGTTCAGTTAAAGCTGGTTTTAGCCCAGAACCTTCGGGGATTAGAAAAGAAGAAAGAAAGTAAAAGTAGTTGTTAATTTCCAAGCTCCATATTTTCTCAGAAACCTTTTGTGATCCTTCAGGATAATCCCTGCATTTGATGTGGCGCCTTTCACGTCAGAGCGCCATTAGGCGCTTCACAAGATGTGCTGCAGAGTGTAGTGACTGTGGATTTTGGAGGGAAATGTCGCACAGCGACGTCCCACAAACAGCTGTGAGTGAATGACCAATTTTATATCAGCGCACCCCCAGCACTGCATTGGAGCAATAGCCAAGACGGTATGGGATCAAACCCTTTACTTGGGGATTGAATCCACAACCTTCTAAATTCAGAGGCCACGGTGTTACCAACTGAGCCAGACTGTTAAACTTCCCTCTCTGAATGTTAATTCCTCACTCCTCCAACCCCACCAAATCAACAGCTCCCTTTTTCCACCCCTCCCCCCCCCCCCGCCCCAAATCTCTTACTTTCTACCTTCGCTCTCCACTCTTCAAGACCTTTTTGAAACCTATCTCTTTGTCCGCGACCCTCTCCTTGCTCCTTTCCTCCTTGTTCGGTGATCCTACGAAACACAGTCACTACAGTTTAGAATGTATCATGCAAAGTGCTTTGTGATAGGGGGTTATACCAAACACAAGCATTATTATTATCATTATTATTATTATTATTATTATTATGCTTATTGCCTCTGTGAGCGCTTTGAGACCTTCATCCAAGATGGAAGGCATTATGTAAGTGTAAGTTATTGCTGAGGAATGGGCTGGAGTCACAATCACGTTCTCTGTTCGAGTTGGTCCACATTCTTACGGAACAGTCCGACTATTGTTCAGCAAATGGTAGCCATGACCATTCCCCAGCGAGTCGTGCAATCTGTGAGCATTCGGGACAAGGAAAATGTTTTTATGAACTGCGCGTGGTCTGCCCCTCGGTCCTGTGAGCGAGCTCAGCAACTCGACATAGGAATCCAAGATGAAAGAAGACCGCGGCCCCCTTCCACTTCGCCTTTTACCGTCCTGGCAGTCACGTGCGAATGTGATGTCCCAAAGTGTCCGGGTTGAGCATGAGACTTCCACTCCATTTCTCGTTACATCTCGCTCCGAGACGCTCTGTCGCAATGCTGGGAGGGCGCAGGGTAAACATTAAATCGGCGTTGCATGACCGACACTGTCCCTTGTGTCTGTGAGGTTGATGCTCTGTGCGATGTGTCAGCCGGGAGCCCAGCTAACGGTGCTGGTGACTCGAATGCCTTTGACAAGGTCGTGCTTTAAAGGGAGCAGTGACCTTGTGCGTGCGCCCTGTCTAACTCTCCCCAACCGTCGTCAGACGGACTTTCACTCCATTGCCATCGTGGCTGTTTGCGGGGAAGTCACCGTGCGCGAGATCGCCTGCTGCGTTTGCCCACAAAGCAACTCAGTCTCTACGCCTTACTGTGCATCATGCGAAGCACATCGAAGCGCATCCTCCTGATGCGAAAGGTGCTATTCCAAATAACAGAATTATTAATATTAATAATGATAATAACGATAATTGCTGTTCGGGGCTAACTTTGATAAAGGCTGCCTTTAGCCCTACTCCAAACTGTAGCCACTTTGAGCTGTCACACACCAACATATCAATCAGTGTCAATTCACCAGAGCTTTTTGCCCTCTGAGCCACTTAGATTCGTTCCCACATTCCAGCCGGCACTGGGTGTGGGTCTGCAGATAAAATGAGCCCGAGATCGGCTCATTGCAGATGCACTGAGTTCCCCAGACAGCTGCTTGCTTTTATCCGCAGAGCTGAGCATCAGTGATAGTGGAACTGTTTTTGTCTCTCAGAGAAAGAGAGAGAGAGAGAGGAACACGATTAAATTCTTTCCGTTAACACTAATAGCAACACAGGACTCTTACATCCTTAAAAAGTCTCTCTCAACAGTCACCCTCTCTTATACTTGTGCGGCCACTAATTCCTGTCTCACTTAAAGGCTGGCGGGAGAGTTGGCCTTTAACATTTTCCACATGTTACTGATAGCAGTACAATTCCGACAAGGTGATGGGCTGCTTGGAATCTTTAACTCTTTGAGTGATATCGCGTGGCTTTCTTCATTGCCTTCGGGCTCAGGGGTTTAATTTGGAAGCGATTCACAAATGACCCAAATATAAATAGAAGCTTTGATACACACACACACACACACACACATATATATATGATTACGATAATCTTTTCTATTCGATATAGCACCTTTCACAGTGGGGAGGATATCTCAACGCTCCTCACTGGATATACTGTAAATTAGTGTGACTGTGTGTATTTTGTGGGTGAGGTTTATGCGAGAGATTGTTGGCTGGGACACTGGGGAAAAACTTCCTTCCTTCTCTTTTCGAGCAGTGCCTGTTAAAGCAGCATTTATTATCAATATTTGGGCCGTGCTATTTGAAGACTCCTGTCTGGCTGAAAGAAACTGCCTTTGACACACAGCCCACGGGGAAATAGAAACGTTCTTCAAATAGAGCTTTGTGAACGGTAAACAGCCTAAAATCCTGCCGGGGAGGCGAGTTGGGGGCTGGGGGAGGGTTGTTGACACAGGGATGGACTTTTGGACAGTGTCACGGCCTTTTGAACATTGTTGTCTTATTTGCTAAGTAGGTGCCATCAGTAAGATTTGGTGGAACTTTATTAATGTCTCTTACACCCATTAATGGGCTTTAAGATGCAGGTGCACCTTAACGCGGCCGACCTTCTCAATGGAGCTCTTCGGGATGATTTCCACTCTGTACTCGCCATTTATCACAACCCCTATTAATCCCTTGGGAGTTGGGGAATGGCGTTCGGTTCTTGGTGGGAATCTGTACGTGCCCTGAGAAAGTGAAATACCTTTCTTTAATCCAGGCCGGGGGGTGGGGAGATGGCAGGCGAACGGTGATTTCAATACGTATTTGCCTTTCAAATAGAGGCAAATAGACTGTTGTGTGTGTCTGTGTGCGTGTGTGTGTGCGTGTGTGTGCGCTCAGGGACGCTACCCTGGCGAGGGTGGCTAAATAAATACAAGTTGTTGTTGTTGTTGCTTGCGCGTGTGTACGCCTGCACAGAACCAAAACAACTTGCGTTTATACACAGTGGCCCTCACGCGGGGTAGAGTCTCGGACTGCTTGACCGTGGCGGAGCCGGGGGTGGGGGTGTGGGCTGTGACCGTAAGCACGGTCGAAGAGGAAGGTCTTCAGGTGCGATCTCAAGATGGGGTAAGGAGGGGGCCAAGGCGGAGTCATTGAGGGAGAGAACAGCTTTGGTGTGACAGTTATCACCATTCCCCTTTAAGGACGGTATTTGGTTGAGAACGGTCCCGACTTTACACAACGATGTTTCGCAGCTGGAGCTTCCAACCCCTTTCTGGGACGGAGTTTGAATCTTCTCACCCCTCACTTGCGTATCAGGTGAAAACGGACAAGAAATGCTTTGTTTCCATTACGCTCTCGCCCCCTATTGGAAGTGACTGGTAACTGCACGGGACCCCTGAGGCAACAGGACAGGTCACCTGAGATTGCTGGTCTATCGCTCATGGAGTAGCGAGGAAGGTATATCTCTGTTGAATTCCTATTAACCCACGAGAACTTGGCTGATGAAGTAGATCATGGTGTCCTGCAGCTCAGTGGTTAGAGCACTCGCCTCACGAGCGAGAGACCTGGGTTCGATTCCCGGCCAGGGCGAAATGTTGCACAGGTTTCCTCACTCCACACACCTCTGTTTACTTGGCAGTAAGTAGGAACCCAGTTGTTAGTTGATTGGCGGATTGCTTTTTGGGGGCAATAATTGTTTAAAAAAATATATAACAGTCAATTGACTTTACAGTATTTTCTGTGAAGCGCTTTGAGATGGCTCGAAGATGTGATAAGGCGCTGTATCAAATGCAAGGATTATTATTATTATTATAATTATAACAGTTCATGAATTAACCTCCATTTGTGTGAGTCAGGATCTTATCTGGTTCCCTTGTGAATGATTCTATTGATCCGCTGAAAGATTGTATGAATGAATAGACTGTGTCATTGCAATCGTTAATGTCACAGAATTTACGACTAAATTGGCTAAAATGTCAGATAAGAATTTGTGACAAATTCTGATGTTTTTTGTTTTATTGAGCAGACGGGAGATTTTCAAGATTCTATTAAAGGTGGATTTCACCTTCAATTGCCTAGATGAGGAGACACATTTTAATTTAAGGGATAACATTTAACATTCAACTCCATGTGATTGAAAGTAAGATATGTTTCGCCGACAAAATACAGAGTCAATTCACTTGACAGTATCCTCTGTGAAGCGTTCTCTAGATGTCACAATGATGTGATGTGGCTCTATATCAAATGCAAGGATTATTATTATTATTATTAATAAAGATCTGAGGTTACACGGTGTTATTTTGTTCCCCATGCGGGCATAAGTTAATTCTTTTTAACAGTCAGGTCCATCTGCACACACCCAACATTCCTTCTGTGACTCTTCAGGTCAATGGCTATGCTGTATTGGCCATTTGGGATGGGTAGTCGTGGAATGACGAACGCTTTTCCCGGGAACTTGTGAAATCCCTGAAACATACATAGAAGACCAGCATAAGTGCCACGTTTCTCCTTCGAACCGAGGCAGTGAACCAATGCAGGCGACCGCAAATGTCAACAGATCAAACACGAGATAGATACCAATCACAGTTGCGTCTACGCTGCCAACAAACCAGGGTAAGGCCAGGTTTCCTTTTCAAAAGAAACTTGTAGAGTACGCACTACGCAGTTGGCTCTTGCACATCTACACAGAGCATAAGAGTCGTTTCTGATGAGAGTCGTTTCCAATGGAGCTATCTCTTTCTACAGCAATTTCCGCTCGCCATAGCCCAGATTCACAGGAAGGAGAACATAGTGGAGTCACATCAACCGCAGTAGTAGAGATGGCAGCAATATTTGGCACCTGTTTTTCTCTCTGTAAAAATTGAGCGGTACAGCACTGATCATGACAGACTCTGCTCTTGACCCTCCGGGTCAGTTGTAGGTGTTAGATGGAGACAAACTAATGTAGATGACAAGACCCCCCCAAAAAAAACTTACTCCTGAATTCAGTAACAGCTGGAGAATGTGTGCAATTTGCCAAAAGGCTGGAATAATTTTTTTCACCATTTACCCTCTGCCAGGTTTGAGACTCACTTGTTTGAAAGAACAGGACGGATCACGTTTCAGTAACTTGCAAACTTCATACACGCAGTCAAAAGTCACGCAGGGGATTTTCAACCAGAAGAAAAGGACCTTCCTGTACAATGTTATTTCAGCCTGAAACAGATTTTTAAGAAAAAGGAGCGTTGCTCAGGCACACAAATCAGGTTGAAAATAGAGGATGAAATCTGCAGTGTTTCATGAGGTGGCAAAATAAGCACTTCCCAGAATATATTGCAATCCCCTTCATAGTATATTCTGTGAAGTGCTTTCAGACGTCTCAACGGCAGGATAAGGCTCTGTATTAAATACAACGATTATCCATTATTATTATTATTATTAATATTATTATCACAAGGAATGTGTTGTGAAATGGCACAAGTTACGCTCTTAAATGTCAAGTTCTCCCTGGATTGTCCATCCTGCATGGAGGAGGCACAGAGTGGATTCTTTCTCGTGTTCGGAGAACAAGGGAAATAAATCTGTCTCTACGGTTAGATATGGTTAGAGTTACCCACCTTTAGTGATGAGATGGCTTGGCTTAAAAAGGCAGATCCTTTCACTGAGATACCACCCGGCATTCTAACGGGATCGGGTTTGATGGAGAGGCTTTGGATTGTGATAGGCTGATTATTAGTCTTGCAGTTTTTCCAGGAGAAGCCTTCTGACTAATATAAAAGGGGTAAAAGATATAAGCGTAGTACAGCATGTTGACTCGATTCACAACTAAAGAGGTGACTGTCCGTCATGAGATTGTGTTAATCTATCCCCCAATGCACACAAAGGGTAAAATGCTCTGCCATTTCCTTAGCAATTGAGATGAGCAAGTGACTGAAACCCTCATCTGCTCTGCTAATGGAGGACCCAGTTAAAGCCCCATCCCCTGTCTGTGTCAGGCTGAGATTGGGAACCCACCCTTAGTGGCGGAGCCTGACACCGAGCCGGTGGAGAGGGAGGAGGTGACGGTCAGCACGGTCGAAGAGGAAGGTCTTCAGTCGTGACTTAAAAGACGGGCAGGAGAGGGCAAGATGGAGGGATCGAGGGAGAGAGTTCCAAAGCTTCGGGGCGTGGTGGCTGAAAGGGCGGCCGTCAATGGTGGAACGCAGGGGATGGGGGACAAGCAGGAGGCCAGAGCAGACCTGGTCTATCCACCCTCTAACCCCATACGTAGGGTGAGAGGCAAATCCTCTGGCACACAGTACAATTTTTCCTTATTTTCTAGGGTCAAGGCAGACACCCCTGAGTTCCATCTGCCTGTTCAGGCGGATGTTAACGATCCAGTGAGTCTATTTGAAAGAGAAGGGAGTTGCTCTCTCCTGGCGCCCTGGTCAACAATCCCTCCAGTAAATCAATAATTCACTTCATTGCTGTTTGCTGTGCAAAATGTTTGCCTAAGTCACCACCCTTGACAATAGTTATACGTTAAGAGCTTTGATAAGACACTATGCAAGAAATTTAAACCCTCACTGTGAAATCACGTGCAGCATTAAGCCAACACGACAGAGGATAAAAAGAGTAAAATCTTGATAAAGGAAATGAACGTCAATGGAATAAGATAGGTCCATTAAATGTGCATGCCCACAACCTGTTGTTACCCGTTTCAATTTACAGGAAACGGTTGCAACACACTTCCTTTGGAGAGTTTAACACGGACGCAGTTAATTTCAGACGCACTGGTCAAGTGTGTATGGATTACTTACTGGTCTGGATCGGTGGAGAAGGCACAAGATCAGGATAAGGACACGGGTGGGAAAAGACATCTTCAGTCCGACTCCGATCTCCGGGCGAAAAGAATACAAAACTTTGGTTTGTAAGAGTTTTTTTTTAATACCCTTCTGTAATAGGGTGTAACCACTTCACTTGGATTATAGCCTTAACATGAAATGCTCTGTTTTCCATGTTAGGCGCTGACAGATCTCTGTCAGGTGAGTTTCCTTACTCCACACACCTCCGTTTACCGAGCAGTAAGCAGGAACCCGGTTGCTAATCGATCGGCAGATTGCTCTTTCGGGTGTAATAATCCCTTCCAAAAAANTTAAATAAGAATCTGGTCGCTCGATGCCTGACTGTTTGCGGGGACGCCTCTGTGCGCAATTGGCTGCCGTGTTTCGCGCACAAAATGCAGTCCATCCACTTTACGGTATATTCTCTGAAGCGCTTTGAGACGTCTCAACCACACGATAAGGCGCTATATTAAATGCAAGAATTATTATTATATTATTATTGTTATTAGTGGTTGTATGACGCTGAACTTGATCCAGACCTGGCTTGTACCAAATGCAAGGATTATTATTATTATTATTTACTCGGTTGGAATTTGGTGTCTCTATATTTGAAACCTGTGATTCTTGTGATAAATAAAGTACAAACTCACCACTTCCTTCTCTAAGAGTATGTATTAAAGGGTAATACCGGGATATTTTGTCTGTAATTTTAAACTCTGAAACTCAAAAGTCCTCAGGAAGATATATATTATGTGTGAGTCACATGAATGAATTCAGCAACAGTTTGAGATTCTGTCATTCTTTCCTGTTGCTTCCTATAAACGTATCAAGGCTCAAATTGGCTGCGACGTTCGCCCACAAATACACAGTCACTACACATCACAGAAACCTCTGATAAGGCACTACATAAAATGCAAGGATTCATCTTATACGCTCTGTTACTGAGATGATAATAATAATAATCCTTGCATTTTGATATAGCGCTTTATCACATCATTGAGGCAGCTCAAAGTTTCTCACGGATTGTACTGTTAAACTGGATTGACTGTGTAATTTGTGGGTGAAACACTGCAGCCAATTCTAACAGTAGTGTCTCACAAACGGCCATATTTGTGAGTGAGCAATTTTATTTATTTGTTTATTTTGGAGGGTTTATTAACCCCAGAAAGCAATCTGCCAGTCGACTAACAACTGGGTTCCTACGTCTTGCTAAGTCAACACAGGCGTTTTTTAGCGTCTTGCTAAGGAAACTTGCCTTAGGTTTCATGATGGATGAGCATTGCTCATGATGGGAAATCACAGCATGAGTAGCAACAGAGATTAAATTAAGTTTTTGAGTGATACAGAAAGTCCTGCTAAATATAGCTAAGGTTTTCCCCAGTGAATGAAGTTACTGATAACTGCGCTCACGCATATCATTGAAAACAGTAATTAAGGCACGTGATTGTTGCTGGAGGCCAATTAAAGCAGACAAACTATAATTTGCTGTGATCTGTGAAGCTTTCGAGATGTGAAGCCATCTTGTGTGTGAATCAACTGTCCGGCAGTTGTTCCTTCCGTTCGCCCAACACTTGAGCGAAATTGCTTTGGAGCCTATAAACACATATGTTTTGCATCGAAAATCTATTTATTTATCTAAATGGGTAGCATACCGTTACCTCAGTTAGTTCAGAAACTTTGCAGGCGAATGAATTGGTTCGATAGTGTCAAATGATCTTTACCTTGAGAGTGAGTGAACCTCAATGAGAGTGATAATACCTTCTGTTTGGTCAGTCAAGTGTCTAACATGTGCAGAAACCCATCACCATGGGTTAAGAGCACAGAGTGTATGTTGGAGCTAAGCATTGGCAAGCTTCCCGCTGCTTGTCCGACTAGGACCCCCTCCCTGCTTCGGTTTCCAGGAATATCGGGGAAGAATCCCAGCCCTCACCCAACTACCAGTAAGTCAGTAAAAAAGAACAAGTGAAACGAATGAACGCTTCGCATTTACTTTCAATTCAAAAGCTGTACATTTTGGTGTTTAATACAACGACTGAACGTCATGTGGTTTTGAAAGAGAAGGAGAGCTCGACACATGCCAGCTCTCGGTTGCCGCTGCTCATCACTGCTTTGCCCTTGTAGTCGCCGTTGGTTAGCCAGTAAGGGACATCCAAGTTGGGGATGTCAAAGCTTGTTTCGGGTAGAGTATAGCTGCCCTGAAAACCAAGAAGACAAATGTTATTCCGCTAGCTGTTTGCAGGCAAAATGATTATTATTATTATTATTATTATATGAAATGCTACATAAATAGACCTGGATGGAATTTCACCCCAATAAAGGGATATGAGTAATAGACTGGAGTGGGATCATTTATTGGCATTACAGGACAGAGCAGATGGGCTGAGCATTGCTACGTAAATCAGATGCACTCCCATTCCTCTCGCTGGCGGTGAAGGGCAAATGGTTCTTACTGTTTGGAAAGGGCAGTGACATGGAATTCCATAGGTCGCCAGCGGCTCAGGACAGCTCTGTCCGGGGGGGATCGCCAGGTAGAGCAGACGACAGACGTCTTCGTAAGTGCAGCTTCCGATCTGCTCCACGCACGGAATCTTCACCCAAGTTCCAGCCACTTCCTTCTGCAACGTTACGTTGACCTGCATTGGGGGTTAAAGAGAAGGGTTGAATATCAACACCACCAACAACAAGAACAAAATGACATGCATAGAGCGCCTTTCACGTCGGGAGGACGTCCCAAGGCGCTGGACAGTCAGGGGGCAGGACCCGAGCAAGGGGGGGGAGGGGTGGGGTAGGGGGTGAGGGAAGGCAGGAAGGTGGGAGGGCGACTGAAGGCACGATCGAAGAGGAGGGTCTTGAAACCGGTCTTGAAGGAGGCGAGGGAGAAGAAGCGATGTCACACGAGACTCCGGCGTGTCTCATCTGGGAACGTGTGTAGGAATTCTTTTACAACAACAACTTGCATTTACACAGTGCCCCCCATGCAGGTAGCGTCCCAGAGCGATTTTAAGCACCACAGTAAAGCCCACTTCAAAGTTAAGACTGAAGTTCACAATTTGCCAAATTCTGGACGCTTTTAGAGATATAGATGAGTAAATCAGGTAAATATATCTATCAGTTAAATCTAGACCCGGTTGAACTTTCTAACCCACTTCGAGGCTATTTTGTGGGGGACATTGTTGTGTGCAAAATTGGCTGCTGTGTTTGTTTAGAAAATACCACAGTCACTGCACTTCACAGTTAATCCTGTGAAGCGCTTTGAGACATTCTCCCAATGGGAAAGATTACGATACCAATTGCAAGGATTATTATTGGTTCTGAATGCTGCTTATGAGGAACTGGGATGAGAATGCAGTGGAGTAAGTGGAGGATAAATGCTGAAGCGCTGGTCATAGCAAAGCGGTGACAGATTAAATAAATAATTAGATAAAGAAGCTTTGCATTTGGTACAGCGTCTCAATTTACTGTAAAAGCGTATTGACAGAGTGACGTTTCGTCTGCAAAATGTACAGCTTTACAGTACATTCTGTGCCGCGCTTTAAGACGTCTCAACGACGTGATAAGGCGCTGTATCAAATGCAAGGATTATCATTATTATTCGGTGACTGTGCATTTGTTGGTGAAGCCAGCAGCCCTTTCGCACGCAGCAGTGTCCCACAGGCCACTGTGAAGTGAGTGACCGAGTGAGAGGGCTGCGATAGAGAACGTTGTGATTTGAAGTTTCTGAAATACCTTCAGGGGGGTCGAGAGGATAACGGAGGTCGATGCCATGGCACTGACTCGAAGAACCCCTGGAATATTAACCGGATCGGGACGAATGGAAAGATACGCAATTGTACCAGGATCCTTCCCACCGCCGCAGTTATTCCAGGAAAAGGCTCCAACCCGGACAACCTGAAAAATACAACTTTTACAACAACCGCAGTTTGCATTTACACAGCGGCCTTCGGACGGGTCAGGGTCTCGGAGCGCTCAACAGTGGCGGAGCCTTACGCCGTCCCGGGGGTGGGGGAGGGAGGTGGGAGGTGACCGTCAGCACGGTTGAAGAGGACGGTCTTCAGTCGTGATCTAAAGGAGAGGTAGGAGGGGGCAAGGTGAGGGATTGGGGAGAGAATTCCAAAGCTTCGGGGTGTGGCGGCTAAAAGTGCGGCCGCCGATGGTGGAGCGGAGGGAGCGAGGGACAAGCAGGAGGCCAGAGCCAGCCGAGCGGAGGAGCTCGGATGTTTTGGCCGAGCTGGGCACGAGGTGGGGGCTGAGGTGGGGGAGGGGGGAAGGGAGGATCGAAGGAGTGAGCGAGGCTGGAGGGTGTGACGGTGCGGTGCGGTGGGGGGGCAGTGGACAGGAGATCGACGTCCGAGAGAAACAATATGGTTCCTCGGGGTTAAGGTTGAACAACGGAGCTTCAGCGAACGTCAACCACAGTAACCGTCACAAGACATTTACAATGGATAGAAAATCAACAACAAATTACACTTGTGTAGCGCCTTTCGTGTCGGGAGGACATCCCAAGGCGTTGAAACATTACTGCACAGAGACCTTAACACTTCTGTTTTTCACGGTCGGCATAGTTAAACAGCTTTCTATTACGTCATTATAATATTATTATTATATCATTTATATTATTATTCCATATTCCAGTTATCAGGAAGCACGTGGGACACCTGATTAGCAATGCATCCCTTTGCTGGTTAAAAGTTTTCTCACGCACAGAGGTACGTATACACACACACACACACACATACATTTAAACTAATTCTGCAGTTGCTGGTTAGTTCCTGGTTTAAGATGACCTGAATCTCTTGGGGTTTGTGCTTTTAAAAAGGAATCAGCGCTTGGTCGGGATTGCACACTGCAGGGAGAGTTAAACCAGCGTTGCTCACTTAACCCCTGGTGAGCAATGGTGGTTGTAAATCCGCACACCCACCGAATCCCTGATTCAACCCTTCTGCTGCAAAACGACTCGAAATCTCTTTTATCTTCTGGCAGATTTTTTTTGCTTGGGGGGGAATGGGGCCGGGACTGGGGGGGGGGGCTGGGCTGGGGGATTCGCTTTGGATTGTAAAAGAACAGCAAACCTTGGCTTTAAAGGGTGGTGGTGGGAGGGGGTTAGAAGGAAGCCCATCCCGTTCACCCACCCACCCACCCACCAGACGAGAGTTAAAAGGAACACACACATTGGTCTGTTTCGTTGCATTTTTTTTCACAGAGGTTGAGACGCACTTACCCTTTGCTGAGCTGGTTTCGCGCTGCCCCGCACTGCACACGGACTGAGACACAGAACCACCAGGAACGGGAACAGGGACATGATTGCCTTTCACCCAAAGGGGTTTGGGAAAAGAAGTGGGTTCCCTGCGCGCAGCGAAAAGGGGGGGGGGAAATCGGGGAGTATTCCTAGCGCTGGATTGCAAACCCCCCCACCCCCCACACCCACAAAAAAAAAGAAACGATTTAACGCTGAATAAGTAGTTTTTTTTAAAAATAAATGATCAAAACAATTCCAGCTGCGCGCAAGAAAAATGCGACTCAGCTCAGTGGCGATGGCAGCTGAAACCAAACCACAGTCCACATGATCAATTTACTGCACTGCACTTCCTATTTTACGATGAGTGTTTTCCCAAGGTGACCTTCCGCAGAAAGGGAGTTATAATCCCTACCTCCCCCCAACACCTCCAAAAAAAAATAATGATAATTTTTGTCATTCAAATCCGCGACTGTTTGCGGGGACGCTGCTGTGCGCAACACCGGCTGCCGCGTTTCGCCCACGGGATTACACGGTCACTGCGCTTCGCAGTACATTCCGTGAAGCGCTCTTCGAGACGTCGCGAAGAGGCGGACAAGAGGCGACGTCAAATGCAAGGGTCTCTAATTGTCGCTGCGGAAGGAATGGAGAATCGAATTCAGCCTTGAAAACACTCGTGCCAGCCTTTCGTTAGGAATCTCACGTTATTTCGTTGTTGCTTTCATACGGCGCGTGTCAGTCCGGGGCAGTCGGTCGCGCTCTCGCCTTTGAGTCAGAAGGTTGTGGGTTCAAGCTCCCACGTTGTCAGGCCTTGGAATCGCACAGTCTAAGCTGACACACCAATGCAGTGTTGGGGTGGGGGTGGGTGGGGGGGGGGGTGTGTGTGGTATTGGAGGAGGTGCCGTCCTTCGGATGAGATGTTAAACCGAGGTCCCGTCTGTTGGTTCAGGTGGACGTTAAAGATCCCAAGGCGCCATTCGAAAAGATAAGATGCTGCATAAATGTACATTGGATTGCGTTCTCCGGTGGCGGCAGATCTGCAGCGGAGAAGTGTCTTCATTTTTTGCCACGTAATAGGGAATTGTGAAATGTCAAAGCGTCTCGGAGGAACTGTTTCTGAGCTTGTGGTTGAGGCAAACGTTGAGGCATCACAACAGCAGAGAGGAAGTCATGTCTGGCTCCGGGACAATGATGAATGCAACAACCGCAATAACAAAAAATGACATTTGCGAAGCGCCTTTCACGCCGGGAGGCGCTGAATCATCGAAATAGGACGATCTTCCACTTCCCATTGCTTGGCTTCGCGAGCCGTCACAAAGCGCTTCACGGGATACACGGGAAAGTGAAGTGACCGTATATTTTCTGGGCGAAACGCGGCAGCCAATCGCGCACAGCTGCGTTCCCCCCACAAACAGCCGTGGATTGGAGCGAGTGACCGCGTGATGGAGCGACCGTTCTATTTGCGTCGTTTGCAAATCTCTTTGCGACCTGATAACCTCAAACCAGAAATTAACACATAATAATAATAATAGTCCTTGCATTTGATATAGCGCTTTTCACGTCTTCTAGACGTCCCACTGAGCCGTCTCGAAGACGTGATAAGGCGCGATATCAATTGCAAGAATCGTTATTGTTATTATTGGTGTTATTGTTGTTATTTTTATTGTTATTATTGGTGTTATTGTTGTTATTATTATTGGTGTTGTTGTTATTATTATTGTTGTTGGTCTTATTGTGATTATTATTGTCGGTGTTGCTGTTATTGTTATTGGTGGTGTTATTGCTATTAATATTATTATTATTGGTTTTATTGTTATTATTGTTGTTATTATTGTTGTTATTGGTGGTGTTATTGGCAGTGGTGCAGTGCCGGGAGCCGCCGGCAGGGGGAGCGCTGGGGGCGCGGGGCTGGAGGCGGGACTGGAGGTCTGGGGGCGGGGCTGGAGGACTGGGGGCGGGGTCGGAGTGACAGGTCAGCTGATCGGCACGTGACAATGCGGGTCACGTGACCGGCCGAGCTGCGGGCGTTCGGGGCCACTCAGGAGAGAGTGAGTGAGAGACACAGGTGAGAGAGAGAGAGAGAGAGAGAGATCCCTCTGAGGAGGGGCTGTGGGGTGAGGGGGGCTGTTGGTGGGGGGGGTGTTGGGGTTGTGGGGGCTGTGGGGGGGGCTGTGGGGGGTGGGGGGGGCTGTGGGGGGGGTGGGGGGGGGGCTGTGGGGGGGTGGGGGGGGCTGTGGGGGTGGGGGCTGTGGGGGCTGTGGGGGGCTGTGGGGGGTGGGGGGGCTGTGGGGTGGGGTCTGTGGGGGGGGCTGTGGGGTGGGGTGGGGGGGCTGTGGGGTCTGTGGGGTGGGGGGGCTGTGGGGGGTGGGGGGGCTGTGGGGGTGGGGGGGCTGTGGGGGTGTGGGGGGCTGTGGGGTGGCTGTGGGGGGTGGGGGGGGCTGTGGGGTGGGGTCTGTGGGGGGGGCTGGGGGGGGGTGGGGGCTGTGGGGGGGGGTGGGGCTGTGGGGTGGGGTGGGGGGCTGTGGGGGGGTGGGGGGGGTTGTGGGGGCTGTGGGGGGGCTGTGGGGGTGGGGGGGCTGTGGGGTGGGGTCTGTGGGGTGGGGGGGCTGTGGGGTGGGGGCTGTGGGGGGTCTGTGGGGTCTGTGGGGGGCTGTGGGGTCTGTGGGGGGGCTGTGGGTCTGTGGGGGGGGCTGTGGGGTCTGTGGGGGGGGCTGTGGGGTCTGTGGGGGGGCTGTGGGGGCTGTGGGGGGGCTGTGGGGGTGGGGGGGCTGTGGGGTGGGGGGGCTGTGGGGCTTATCTGGGAGCTGCTTTGTGTAGAGAATGGCCCCCGGTGGGGGGGGGAGCCCCCGGTGTGGGGGGGGGAGCCCCCGGTGGGGAGCCCCCGGTGGGGGGGGGAGCCCCCGGTGGGGGGGGGGGAGCCCCGGGGATGGATTCAGGGCCTTTGGTTTGGGCAGTGATTCACTCCCAGAGATTCCTTTGTTCCCGAAAACTTCCGAGACACCGAGAACCAGTCACCCTGAGAGGGAGGGAGGGAGGGCGGCGGAGTGGGGGGGGGTGTGCGGGGGCATTGCGTGTGCGGGGTGGAGGGGGTGCGTGTGTGGGAGGGGGTGCGTGTGCGGGGGGGTTGCGGGTGTGGGGGGAGGTGTGCGGAGGGTGTGCGTGTGCGGTAGGGGGTGTTTGCGTGTGCGGGGCGGGTTGCGTGTGCGGGCGGGGTTGCGTGTGCGGGCGGGGTTGCGTGTGCGGGGCGGGGTTGCGTGTGCGGGGCGGGGTTGCGTGTGCGGGGCGGGTTGCGTGTGCGGGGCGGTTTGCGTGTGCGGGGGTGGGGTTGCGTGTGCGGGGCGGGGTTGCGTGTGCGGGGGGGCGGTGGTGGGGGGGGGCGGTCCTTTTATTTTGCGTCAGGAACTGGTTGGCAAGATTTCGGTCGTCATAACTGCGAGAATCCTCGAGGGAGAGAGAGAGAGAGATATAATGGCAATGATGACGATGACGATAATAATCCTTGTGTTTGACCCGGCGCCTGCGGGTGGGGGGGGGAGGTGTGCGGAGTGTGGGGGGGGGCGTGTGCGGAGGGGGTGCGCATGCGGGTGGGGGGGCGTGTGCGGATGGGGTGCGGGTTGGGGGGGGCGTGTGCGGAGGGGGTGCGTGTGCGGGTGGGGGGGGGCGTGTGCGGAGGGGGTGCGTGTGCGGGGTGGGGGGGGGGAGGGGTGCGTGTGCGGGGTGGGGGGGCGTGTGCGGAGGGAGTGCGTGTGCGGGGTGGGGGGGCGTGTGCGGAGGGAGTGCGTGTGCGGGGTGGGGGGGGGGGGACGTCGAGACGTCAACTGACTGTATAATTTGTGGGCGTAAACGCGGCCGCAGCCAATTGCACACCGCCGCGTCCCCACCAACAGTCGTGGATCGAGTGACCACATTATTATTTTCTTTTGTCTGGTGGTGGTGGTGGGGGGGCGGTTATTATCAGACCTGTGGAGTAAGGAAACTTGCCCAAGGTTTCGCACCCCCCCCCCCCCCCACCCCCAGCCAGGAATCGAACCCAGGTCCTCTCGCTTGCGAGGCGAGAGAGTGCTCTCACCGCTGAGCTACGGGAGGGTCCCTGAGAGAGGATGGGTATGAGGCGTCTTGACCGGTGGGTGAGCGAAGGGGGGGGGAAGGGTGTGGCGTCTCCGCAATCCGCAAAGGCTTCCCGTCAGTGCTCAGACCCCGACCGGTTGACCGTTGCCGGTCTCAGTCCCCGACCGAGTCGTCGAGAGCCGAGGGCACGACTCGCGATTGAACGGGACGTTGCGTTTGCTGCCCTTTCTGAGACGTCTTCGAGACGTCCACCGTCTCGTTCTTGCCTTCGGGGTTAACTTGGTGCAATCACCTCATCGCTGAGAATAATTGGAAAGGAATCAAAAGCATATGACATAACCCCCCCCCCCCCATCTCAATTGAATCATCGGGAAGCGAAAGTGTTTGGTGGTCAAAGGCGGTCATGTAGCCACATGTAATGGTTCTGCTTTTGGTCGCGTGTGGTGGGGAACTCAGCAGAAACGTGCTTGAGAACTGGGAGTGGATTCACTCGTGAGGTTTGGCGGTGTCGGTGTAGGAATCCCGTGATGACTTCCTCTCCGTTGCCGGCGCTGAGTTTCGTTTTGATAATCAAGGGGGCGTCCACCTTCTCTACTTTGCCCCCTTTCCCCCTTTCCGCTCCCCCGTCTGGCAAATCAGTTGGCAAAGAACAGCGCGATGTCCTGCCGTGAACTCTTTTGTTTCCTCAGTCAAACTTAGAAGTATTTTTTTTCAGGTGGAGGTCGCTCGGCCCATCGAGTCTGCACCAGCTCTCGGAACAACCCGTCTATTCCACCGCGCTATCCCCGATCCACCTCCGGGCCTTTTTACACGACAGGTAGAGTAATAATCCTTGCGTTTGGTGTGGCGCCTTTCACGTCAGGAGGACGTCCCAAAGAGCGCCACCGGATTTGCTGCGGATTGTGGAGTGTATTTTTGGGCTCACGTGGCAGACAGTTTTGCGCTCTGTAATGTCCCGCAAATAGCCGTGAAGCGAATGATCAATTTTACTTGGGAGATTGTTGACCTGGACTCCGGCCAAAACTCCCTCAGCTTTTTGAATAATTCCACGGGGTAACAGATTGATGCAAAGCACGGCACATCTGGCTATGCGTCACACCACTAGCCCTGCTTTGGAGTGCCCGCTTCAACTGTATGAGTTCAGATCCTGAAGTGACACTGAACCAGGCTGACGCACCTTTACCTATAGCGCCTTTCACTTTGGAAGGACATCTCAAGGCGCTAGACAGTCCTGACTTGGCACCCGCGCTGTCGTTCATCTGTTCCGCTTGCCTCTTGAAACCCGCAGAGGGCAGAGCCATCATGTCCGCCAGAAGGCTGAGGAACGAAGATTGTACCGACTACAGTTCCACTGAAGCCAGCCCGATCCGCGACAGCCAGAGCTCCTCCTCCGATTTGCCCGATTTCTCCTCAATCCAGTCCGACTCCTGCGGCAGGTATCAGCGTATCGGCGAAAGGACTGGGACAACGTAAGTGGTCTCTGCCCTCCCCTCCCCTCCCCCCGTCGTCCTCACAAGTCCTCCCCACCCAACCGCCTCTGAGAGGGAGGTAAATTCAAAGCAAATCTGTGGAAACACTATTTCGGTGAGCGAGCAGTAAATGTATGCGACAGGCTCCTAGGGAGACGGTGGAAGCAGAAGGAGGCAACTCTTTCAAGAGCAAATTACATAGCTTTCTGTCAGGGAATAATACTATCTCGGGATACAGTGTATAGAGTTTGGGACGTGACATGTGCAAGCGACTGCCAGGATGGTGGAAGGCGAACTGGATGGACCTTGGTCTTATTTCGTCGAGCAAACGTTTATTTTATTTTATTTTTTATTTCGCCCACAAAACATACGGTCAAATCACTTTTCAGTGTATTCCTTGAAGCGCTTGGAGACGTCTGGAAGACGTGATCAGGCGCTAGATCAAATACAAGGTTTATTATTGTTTATAAGTGCTGTGCTGGAGAAAAAAAAGAGTCTTAACTTTTGCGATATTTGCTATTTTGGTTGGAGCGAGGTCAGAGATATGTGATGGAAGTGGGGATAGAAAGAGAGAGAGAGAGCGTGAGAGATGTAATCGGCTGGTAAGCTCTCAAGCCCTATATCCCGTGGAGCCGAGTACTGTATTATCTTCTTGCTTTCTTGATTTCCAGGTCCTTTCAGACATTAATCCACTTGTTGAAAGGCAACATTGGAACCGGCCTTCTCAGCCTGCCTCTGGCAGTGAAGAATGCAGGGCTGGTGGTGAGTTGCCTTCCATCACTCTACTAGCCCACAGCAGTGTTCCTCTACTAGCTCCACCATTGGTGGCCGCGCTCTCAGCCACCACGCCCCCCCCCCCAAACTGGAACACTCTCCCTCAACCCCTCCGCCTTGTCCCTTCCTTCCCCCGTCTTCAGGTCGCGCCTGAAGACCTTCCTCTTCGACCGTGCCTACGGTCACCTCTCACCAGCTCGACATCAGGGTCCCTGTCACGCGCTCCGGGACGCCACCGGTTTTATCGGGGGTTTGTTAGCATGGGGGCAACCTCCGAATGTGAGTGGCGGTGAGTGTTTGTGGGTGAGATCATAGCCGAGCCCTTGTGAGTTGCAAAGCACCTGATATTATTGTGCAATAACAAGATCCCGTCTCCATGGTATTTTTATCTATTCAGGTGAGATCCTGAATATTTATTCTGGTTGATTCACATCCAGACAAGCAAGCTTCTTTAACACCCTGTAGGCCAAACTCCCCAGCTACGTCTCGCATCAGATGTTGCAAACCTACCCCACTCAATCCTCACTCGGCCCTTCTGGTTCCTTCCCCCCACACACACACGCGCGCACACACACACACACACACACACAAGAGAGAGGACCGGGTTCGGTTCGCCCACAATTTGCTCTGCAGGATATTCTGTGAAGTGCCCTGAGGCGTCTCGGAAGACACGACGAGGCGCAATAACAAACGCAACGACTGTTATTATCCAGGAAAAACAGTCGAATCGAATGCCCGGCCGGCGTAATAGTTAATTATAACCTTGATACTCTTTCCCGTTGCTTGACGTGTGCTTCTCTCTACAGCTCGGTCCCGTCAGCTTGGTGGTCATGGGCTTTGTGGCCGTGCACTGCATGCAGCTGCTGGTGAAGTGCAGTCACCATCTCTGCGCCAAGTAAGTCCCCGTGGTTAGTGATAGAATTGTCTCGTGCCAAAGGAGGCCAGTCGTTGGCTCTGCCATCTCATCTCTACAGTAGATCCATCGTGTCTTCCTCTCACTTCCCCCGCTCCCACCCCGGGCTTTCACACGTTTCCTCTTCTCTCTTCCAGATAGTCGGCCAGTTCCCCTTTTAAGTAGTACAGACCCAAAACTCACAAAGTAAGACAGTTTGAGCCCCCGGGGAGCCTGCAGTTGGCTCTCTCCCCCCCCCCCCCCCCCACCCGGGAAGGGGAAGCGCCGGGGGTGGGGGGGGCTAAAGTTGGCTGACTTTGAGGGTCTTCGGGTTGCAGCCGTCGCTACCGTTTCCCGGGAAGGAAGTGCAGAGCGCAGGAAGTGATGACAACCTGGAAGTTGTCTCCTAGTCGTGATAGTGGCAGGACGCTCTGTGGCGCTGGCGATCGCGTACAACAGGAAACTAGGTCTGAGGCAACCTGACGACCTGGAAATTGACCTTTCTTCCCCCCCCCCCCACCACCCCAATATAATTTGGACGTTGAGCCCAGAATACCATGTTTCGTGGGGTTTTGCTCCTTTGGTTCAGATTCTGCTTCGACAAGTGTTTTCTCGGTGGAGCATTCGATGTCTTCATAACCCTTGTACGTGTGTGTGTGTAAAAAAAATATATATATCAATCTATAAATTCTCGAAGACTCTCCCCTCTGTCTCGGCGTCCTGTCGAGTGCACGATTGCAAAATTCCTCTAGATGTCACCGTCATACCGGGAGCCGAGTGTCGTGAGCATCTGGGCGATGGGAATGAGTTTATTCACGATCCTCTTTTACAGTCGGTCAAACAGTCCTGTGAAAAGTGCTCCTGAGACTGACATGAACGTTTTGCGGCGTTGCCGGTGACGGACTGACTCAAAGGGGAAAGGAGTCCCTTTGCTGAAGTTCAGGCCGGCCGCAGGCAAAGAAATCGCACAACGAGCAGCGGCCACAATAACACTCCTTTGCACGGTTAGCAGCAGCTCACAAGTTCCCTGGCCAACAGTGCCTCAGATGAAATCGGTCGTTCACTTTGCTGCTGGTGGGGTATTTATGTAGTGGGGCATTTGCTCTGTGAAATTGGCTGCCTAGAAAATATACAGTCTCTACGGTTTACTCTAAACCCCCCGGCCCCCAGTGTCAAGCGCTTTGAGGTGACCTCTCGAACGTGAAAAGCACCGGATCAAATGCAGGGATTATTATATCTGTTATAACCAACTGGGTATTAGGAATGTGTCCCAAGCTGCGGCTCTGTGATTACCTCGTGTGAGTCAGTGTGGTTGCATGTTAGTCAGGTCCGACCTGTTCAGCAAAGTAGATCCAATTTTGATAGTGAAAGGACCCGGTGTCTCACTGTCTTGTGGTTTGTTTTACAGACTACAGAAACCTTTTCTGGATTACGGAAACGTGGTGATGTGTAGCTTGGAAGAGTGCCCCAGTCCCTGGCTCAAGCAACATTCGCACTGGGGAAGGTACTTTGCCGTTTGATCTGTGAGGGAAACGGATTTTAAAGGGGATTGACAATTCAACCCACCAGAATGCTTTAGGATTGGTCCCCTCCCTCCATTTTAAAATCTCTCTTGTTTTCCGAACCCGGATCAAAATTTGCGTTCAATTCGCGGTCCTGACTTGAACGATCCTTCGTAGCTTGAAGGTAAAATTGTGTTCAGTTGCAACTGGATTGGCATTGAGTGGGTCTGGGCGAGAGGAGAGGATTTCTGCGAGGAGACAGAGGGAGGGGAAGAAAATCAGTGTTGATATCAGTCCTTGTCCGCATGACAATAAACCATCGCAAGTGTCTCGAAATTGTTCTTGATGAACTTTGTCAAAGCAATGTGCGATTTCACCTGCTTTTCACTAGGTCAGGGATACCATTAAATTGAAGATGATCATCCACCATCACCTCCCCCCCCCCCCCCCCACCCCACCTTCCTCCATTTCATTTCATCCGTAACCTGTTAATCTTCTGTTTCTACGAGGGAAACACAAAATTATTGCTTATGTGGCCCACGGACATTTCAAATAGGCAATCTGGCCCTCAACAGCTAAAAGGTTAGACCCCCCCAACCCCCGCCTTTACCTTACCACAATAAAATTACATTCCGAGCAATTTCCTCCCTCCCACCAAAAACACACACACAAAAACAGGTGTTTTTTTTGGTGAATTAAAAAGATGACTAATTGTCCTTTAATAGCAAATGAAAACCCGAATCTTCTAAGCTTCTCCCCAACCTCACCGACAGGGTGGGGGCTCTCAAATAAAGCTCACTGCTTTAGCTTATTGCTGCCGCGTCTCGCCCCCACGATACACAGTCACTCCACTTTACAGTACGTTCTGTGAAGCGCTCTGAGACGTCTCAAAGGTTATTATTATTTCTACTGCCCATTCGCCAAAAGTCGTGCTGAATGTCTTGTGTGATTAAAATATAACGTGTGTGTGTGTGTGTCTCCGCAGGCGGCTCGTGGATTTCTTCCTGATCATCACGCAGCTCGGATTTTGCTGCGTGTACTTTGTGTTTCTGGCCGACAACATTAAGCAGGTAGGTTGGTCACCCTCGCCCACGGAATACAGTCAATTCACTGAACAGTGTATCCTCTGACGCGCTTTGAGACGTTTCAATGACGTGATAAGGCGCTGTATTCAAGTACAAGGATTATTATTATTTATATTTATATTATATTTATATTTCGGGATGCGAAAGACACTGGAATGTAAGTTTGCGTTGTATAACTTTGCCCAGTGAGGTGCGTTCTGCAAGTAGTTGTTGATATTGTGTAAAGTTTCCCCTCCCCCTCCCTCCCCCCAACAGCCCATCACGTGTTCAAGATCCCTCTGTTCCCCTGGGGATATTTATCAACTCGCTCTGAAAACACACCAGGCGACTATTTCTTTATGAAAAGGACAATAACTAGCTGGAATGGGTAACCAGGAGGGGGATGAATGACACCAGCAAGTAGCCGCCTTCTGTTGAAATCAGAAAGGCTTGGCCACGTAACTCTCATCAGCTTGTGTGCGAGTAACAGGCACGAGGCCCACACAGGGCACCTTGCTCAACATGGATACCCCCCGCTTACCTCACCCCTCCCCTCCCTCCCCAAGTCGAATCGTGGGATGGTGGGTGTTTGTCGAGTTTCAGATCTGCTAATTAATTCGCCTTCAGCCACTACTTCCCGAAATTCTGGAACATTCGCCCTCAATCTCTCCGCCGCCTTGCCCCCTCCTTTCCTGTTTTCAGTTCATGCCTGAAGACCTTCCCCTTTGAGCGTGTTTGCGGTCACCTCCCCCCCCACCTAACCGCTCCCCACTCCCCGCCTCCGCCCCCCCCACCCACCCACCCACCCCGGGCTCGAGGTCGTGCTCTGCTACTGTCAAGCGATCTGGGAAGCTACCCCCGCCTGAGGGGGCGCTGGGTAGATGCGGGTTGTTGTGTCATTAAAAGTGTAGGTTAAGCCTTTCTGTTTGACTTTCTGCTTAGGTCGTGGAGGTGGCCAACGCCACGACGAGCAATTGCCACCAGAACGGTACGCTGGCAGAAACCCACACCATGGACAACCGTCTGTACATGGTCTGCTTCCTCCTGCCCATCATCCTGCTGGCCTTCATTCGCAACCTGAAATGCCTGGCTCCGTTCAGCACCCTCGCCAACCTCTCCATGCTCGTCAGTCTGATCCTGATCTACCAGTTCATCTGCACTGTGAGTAACTCCCAAGGTTTCCCCTTCAACCCCCTGCCCATGGATTTGAGAGCGCCAGTTACGCTTGAGAGCTCTCGTTGAATCAATTGGTACAGGCTACATTTAACATTAATAATCATAACAATAATAAGCCTTGCATTTGATACTGCGCCTTATCACGTCATCGAGACGTCTCAAAGCGCTTCACAGAAGACCCTGTAAAGTGAGTTGAGTGTATATTTTGTGGCCGAAATGCAGCAGCCGATTGCACACAGTGGTGCCCCGCAAACCGTCTTGGATTGAGCGACCAAATTATTATTTTATTTTTCTTTGAAGGAAATTTCACCCCTGGAAAAGCAATCCGCCAGTTGACTAACAACCGGATTCCTACTTGCTGCTAGGTAAACAGAGGCGGGTGGAGTAAAGAAACTTTCCCAACGATAATCAAACCCAGGTCTGTCGCTTGCGAGCTGAGGGCGCTAACCACTGGTTATATTCAGGCGCTGAGCTGTCTATCGTTTTACAGAATATTCCAGATCCCAGCACCCTTCCTTACGTGGCTGGATGGAAAAAGTATCCACTCTTTTTTGGGACGGCCATATTTGCATTCGAGGGCATCGGCGTGGTGAGTAATTCATAGAATAATAATAATACTACTGTTATTAATAATAATAATAATTGTTGCTTTTGATATTGCGCCTTGTCGTGTCTTGAAGCTCCCCCGGAGGATGTACGGCAGTGTGATGCGACTGTGTGTATTTCATGGGGGAACGCGGCAGTCAAAATGCGCACGGCACTCTATGAATCGTCGCGGGAATGAACCACCCCACATTGCGTGAAAACACTGGACCGCTGGTCAGTGTGGTACCAAATTTACTGTGGTTTACTCTCCTGTTTGGTTAAAAGCTGCCATTTCTCTCACCGTCATTCCTGCTCCACGAGCCGAACATCCACTGTGGCTGGTTTGTCAGACTCAGCCTTTGAGCAGCCTTTGGGCTCTGTTTGTCTGGCACAGGCAGAGATAATAATAATCCTAATAATCCTTGCATTTGATACAGCGCCTTATCACGTCTTCGAGACGTCTCAAAGCGCTTCGCAGAATATACTGTAAAGTGGATTGACTGCATTTGGTGGGCGGCGAAACAAAATGTGTTAGATGGTGTAAGGTTGCTGGATTGATTGATTGACCTGTGTTAATTAGCACACAAGTGTGTTAGTTAACGCATCACAAAATATCCCCCTCCGTCCTCCCCCCCCACTGTCCCTCCTCTCCAAGCTGAGAGACAGCGTGGACATTAAATGGCTATTTATAAACGTCGTCTGTTTTTTTTTAAGGTCCTTCCACTGGAAAACAAGATGCAGAAACCGCAGGAATTTCCCCTGATTCTGTGCGTAGGCATGTCGATGGTCACAATGTTATACCTGAGTCTGGGAGTCATGGGATACATTAGGTTTGGGGAGGCCATCAAGGGAAGTGTCACCCTCAACCTGCCGGCCTGCTGGTAAGTGTTTCGGTACAAATACGTGTAAAGCACAATTTGCAGCGCAAATTTACACCGGTATAGAGAGCGCCTTTCGTGTCGGGAGGACTTCTCACAGCGCTTAACGATCCTGGCTTTGGAACCCGAACTAGAGATGGGAACCGAGGGAGGGTGATCGTCTGTCGAGAGTGTCCAAGGGCGTCGCTGCTCGAATGGTGTTGCAGCTCGGATGGAAACGAGGACTGCTTTCCGCCCCCGTAGTCTGGTGCTTTGACACTACTGATAAAACTGCTTGCGTTCAGCGCAGTGCAATTTCCAGTACAGATTTATCTTATAAATTTTTATACACCCCTCCCTCCCCCCCCACCCCAGCTCCGCTCCTTGCCCCGTTATCTGTCTCACCTTCTTTCCCCAACCAAATCAATGCCAATCACAACTTGTGTTTCTACAGCAGCCTTCTCTGTGGTCTGATTCTGTGGTCTCTTCTAGTCCCCTTTTCTTAGAAATAGCATAGAATTAGGTCCCAAGCTTTCACTTTTCTAAACGGACTATTAATTTAGAGGCTGGTCTTCCCACTCGAGTCACAAAAAAAACTTAGCTTTCAAAGGTTGACCTTGTCACGGTGACCCACCTGAACGATGAGTTGACCTGAATCTGGCCTGGTGTGCGAAGGGTTGGGGGGGGAAAAAAAAGCTTAGGGGAAGGATTGGAGCGCGAGGGCCTGGTGTTGCTCAGAGCAGAGGGATTTAGAGGAGATTGCGGAAAGCCTTTCCGAATGAGTAGTCAAAAGGTACAGCAAACCGGACAGACAGACACACGCACTGTGAATGAAGGGGCTTAGCTTCACGGCGAGTTTGCAGTTGAAGCGTCGAAGCTTTGCTGGAGGATTTGCTGGCGGCTGTTTTGGACGGCTGAACTCGCCACGTCAACAGTCCAGCTGTCGCTTCCAGCTGTTTGCCTGCGTTTGTGTTGAGTAAGCTGTTTGAGAGCCCAGGCTTCGTCGAACAAGGGCAACCAGAGTTTTGGAGTTGTCTCCGATCTGCATTCCCAGTTTGAGTTTCGCCTCGGAATCGCTGCAGCTCTAGTAAGCAGGCGGACTGCCGTCGACTGCCTTTTAATTTGTTGCGTAGCTGCTTTGTGAGCTCTCCTCCTAGATTATTAACAAAGTCTAAGACCTTCAGAACAAGAACTTTCTGAAGTTTCTGAAAGCAGGCCAGCCTCGCTGTAGGAAAGGGGAGGTGGTGTCGACATGCGCTGTGTGACACACAGCGCTAACTGACGACAGCAAAGATTAGGTCAACACAGTCACTAAAACGACGACGATAACAATAATCCTTGCATTTGATAAAGCGCCTTATCACGTCATTGAGACGTCTGAAAGCGCGTCACAGAATATACATAGTAAAGTGGTGTGACTGTATTTTTGCGGGTGAAACGCGGCAGCCAATTTGTGCACAGCAATGTCCCGTAAACAGCCACAGAGCGAGTGATTCATTTTATTTGGGGTGTTGCTGGTCAGGACAACGGGAGAGAGAAACTCTTCGAATAGCTCTGCGGGATTGAGTAGTCTGACTCTTTTACTGTTCGTCAAGCATACGAGGCATTGGGGGGAAGGGGGAGATTTATTGCTCTCATATTTGTCTAACTCTTTTGCGATGGCTTAAGGAGATTTCTTTAAAAAAAACACTTTGCGGCTTAAAAAAAATGAGGCTGTGAGCCGAGGAATAGTGAAATCTGAATTATAACTGAGAGCTTCGTGCCAAATGGCTTGTAGTGATTTCCGTTGTGGAGGCATATAAAGAGATTGCTCATTACTTAGGGAGTTTTTCAATATGTTCTTTTTAATGCCGTTAAAATGCGTAAGGCTGTTCCGCTTTACATTCAAAGTGGATAACGCAATCAATCACCTTGCACTTTGATGCGGGTAAATGTGGGCTCTTGTGTGATGAAAGCAATCTTGATTGCCTATAAGGGGAGAACATCATCACACGGGTTTGGTTGTAGGCAAATGTTGACCTTCAAATAAGACCAATTTTGTACTCGGAGACCAATTTTTTTGTAGGCGTGCAATCCTAGTCTTAACAGCAATTTGTATATCAGAGAGTTATGCTGACCGGTTTTCTGACTGATGTTTCTGTTGCATGTTTGATTCGCAATGCAGGGCTTGTTAAATTAGATAACCAGCTGGAAGCTGTTTATACTCCAAGCAGAAGAGTTTCTTCAGTGAGCTAAAAGCTGTACGTCCTTCGGATGTGACGTTAAACCCAGGTCCAACACTGTCTCGGTTCAGGTGGACGCTTAAAGATCCCATGGCATTGTTCGAGAAAGACAAAGGCAACAAATTGCATTTACACAGAGCCTTTCACGTCGGGAGAACGCCCAAGGCACTGGATAGTGAAGGGTTTGCACCCGAGCTGGGGGTGGGAGGATGACTGAAGGCACAGTCAAAGAAGTTCTTGAGATGGACCTTGAAGGAGGCAGGGTAGGGGATGAGGCGAAGGGATGGAGTTCCAGAGGGTGAGGGCAGAAAGGCTGAAGGCCTGACTGCCGATGGTGGGGTGGGCAAGGCCGGGACAGACATAGAGCAGGCCAGCGCCTGCTGAGCAGAGAGCGCGGGGCAGGTTGGTAAAACGAGATTTTCGTCCAGGATCCTGGCCAACAGTCCTTCCAGATAAATCCTTCGCTGTTTGTGGGATGTCGGTGTGCAAATTGGCTGGGAATACGTGTGTGTGTGTCTGTGTTTGGGTGGAGGAGGAGTGAGAGAACATTTATGAGATCTGCCCTCAAGTTCATTCATTCACTCGATGGTTTGTGGGCACGTGATGTCTGCAAGCTGGCTACTGCATTTTCCCTGCAGTTATGTGTGAGACTCTGAATCAAATGCGAGGATATATTTCTAAGTTAATTTCCCAAAACGTGTCAACCCCGTGCTGGCTGCCCAGCAGTTGCTGTGTCGGGAAAAGATATGTAATCTAAATAATAATAATCCTTGCATTTGATACAGCGCCTTACCACGTCTTCGAGACGTCTCAAAGCGCTTCACAGACTATACTACAGTATAGCAGTACATGAATTGACTATATTTTGTGGGCGAAACACGGCAGCCAATTGCGCGCACAGCAGCGTCCCACACAAACAGTCGTGGATTGATATCCTTATTCCAGCAGGAAAGACGCCGGCAGCAGTGCCGATTTCAGTGAAAGCAAATGGGCACCTCAGTTCCTTCACGTGGCTTTACTGCCGCGAATAGCACGATAGTCGAGTGAGCCGTGCCTGGTGGGCCTTTTCTGTGTCTTCCTCGGTGCTGTTCCTTCTGTCGTTGAGGGTTCCCAGTTGCCTCGTTGTTTCATTGAGGCCTCGCTCGCGTTACAGAGTCTGCATGGGAGAGGGTTTTGATTGTAAAAGAAGCCAACCTACCTCGTCTCAGTGGCATCAAAGATCCGGTGCGCGGCCCTTAATTTGGGGAGGTAGGAAGCTCGCCATCCAAAACTGGTCTCCTGGCGTTGATGCGACGGAACAATCTCCAGCCTTCGGGTAAACGCTCACCTTCAATCGACAGTACAGAAGCAGTTCGTTAGATACACAAGTGAGGTAGAAGGGTGTGGGACGGAGTAAGGAGTGTGGTGGGGCGGGGGCGGGGCGACTCGTTGAGTTTGAACGTTGGCACGGACTGGTTGGGCTGTGTGCCCTGCTTCCGTGCCTTGTAATGAACTTGTACGTAAAATCTATGTAAAGTGCCTTTGCTAGTGTTGTGCGGTGTTGGGTGCTCTGCTGCAGGCATACATCGCTCATTCTTCAGCCGTAAAGAAATCCGAGTTCAATTAGACTCTGCACCAAGCTGTCCCACAGCTGTGTGGGCGGAACAGGTTTACGTTAGTGTGTTGGGATTCAAGCATTTGCGTTGTCGTTTCATACATCTTATTGAGAAGAATGGCGTTATTGTATGTTGGATGTGCTTTGCTGGATGGGACGCTGTTTGGAATTGATTCTGCCGCGTTAGGGTGAGCTTCCTGTTAGTTTGGCAACTCGGTCAGTTGGTTTAGCGTAAAGTAGATCAGATTTTTTTCTGGTCACATCGTAATTCCTGTTATCTTCCCGATTGATTTGGTGTCGATTAGCATGAAATACTGCCTTCTTTGTTGCAGCTGCAACTTCTCAGCTATTAGTTGAGACTCGGCTCTCTCAACGGGGAGGACGTCACAGATGGACGTTTCTTTCATTTGTACACATTTGTGCAGAGAAATAAGCTTCATCAATCTATCTAGCTCAGGGCGCTGCCAATTCTGTCTGTTCTCAGTTACCTCTGTCTCCACTCCACAGCCTGAGGCAACTTCCCTCTAGTGACCTAAATATCTGGCTGCAACGACCTTGACCATCGCATCCATCCCAGCACAGTTTCCCCTCCCTCCCCACTCCATCCACTTAACGCTGCTACTACTAATAATCCTTGCATTTGACATAGCGCCTTATCACATCGTCTCAAAGCGCTTCACAGGATATACTGTTGTTGTCGTAACACCGTGTGACTGTGTGTACATTGTGGGAGAAAGCCACTCAGTGTATCTGCAGCAGGTTCCCTCAGGTCTGTTCTCCCCCCTTCGCACCGATTAAATAACTAATTTGTATGTCAGTAATCTGCTTTATTCCAATGCCCGGCGTGTCTAACTTCCTTGCATGTATTCCACTTTATAATCCACAGTAACTCCACACTGACGCTCTCAATCGATCATCCTGTATTCGAGTCGATAGCCTAATCTGCTGCGTTACCCTTGTACCTCTAACCTATTAATCATCTCTGCTCCATCTCTTCTCCCTTCCCTGTCCGTGTCCGCGTGGAAATTGCTCCTGCTTTCAGACTAGCTGTTGAATGACTTGCATTCTTTTGTTAGCCCCTTCTATTCATCGAGAACCACTCTCACTTTTTTCCCCCAGCGTTCAACTCACTTCTCTTGTACGTCCGTTTACCATCTTATCCCGGGCTCTCGCAAGGTCATCTTTATCTGATGCATCGTGCTTTTGGCTCTGGGTAGTATTTTGTCTGACGCACGTGGAAGCCCATCGCCGTGCTTAAGAGTATCCAAAGCGGACTGAACTCCACATACGTGTGCCATCTACACTTGGGAAATTTCCTTGTGTCTGGAATGGAATGCGCACTCTCTCCCTGAGAAGATGCCCACAGACACACAGCTACTTGAGGGCATGAACAATAACAACAACAATTTGTATTTGCATTGGACAGGTCGGACCAATTCTCGGAGTGCTCAACAGCGAAAGCAAGTTAATGTTAAATGCAGGGAGAAAGTTGCGTCTGAGACGCTTTGAGACATCGTCCTGATGTGAAACGCACTGTGTCAAATGCAAGGATTATTAGTACTGTTGTTGTTCTTATGATAATGTTAGCTGTTGGTCTCGAAGGAACCGACGTTTGTGGTTTAACTCTGCACCATCTTTCGCTTTCTCTCCCCCCACCCCCACCCCACCCCGAACAGGCTGTACCAGTCGGTGAAGATTTTGTACTCGTTCGGGATCTTCATCACCTACGCTTTGCAATTCTTCGTGGCGGCAGAAATCATCGTCCCGTTCGTGGTGTCCCGGGTCTCCGAGCGCTGGGTGCTGGCCTGTGACCTGGCCGTTAGAACCTTTCTGGTTCTGGTAACCTGTGAGTACTACACAAGGTGTTTGTTTTCCTGGGTGGGAGGGAGAATCGCTAAATATGAGTTTCACCGTCCCCTTCAGAAGGCTGCTCGCTATGTGATGCTCATTTCCTGCTGTTAAATTGAGATAAATCCACTTCACGTAAATGAGTTGGTTTGGATTAACCGAAGATAACTGTCTTCTAAAGTGTTCTTTCGCAAGGCCTCCGGTTTAGGCTGTGCTCCTTGAGAACATATTACAAAGTTCCCGTCTGAAAGCCTATCTTAACCCTTCGTTCCTGTCATAAGAAGAGCGTGGATAAGATATTCATTCTTTGTCTACCCAATGTCTTAATTCTCCATTGAATAACTTTATTTATCCTCCCCTGATTACCCTACCTTGAAAATGTACAGTCAGAAATATACAGCAAGTCTCCTTTTTATTTCTGCGTCTGCACCAGTTTCTTCACCGTTGCTGTGTTTGGGGAGAAGAGAGATTCGATAGTTTGAGCACTTAGAGATGTCCTCCCAACATGAAAGGCTGCATATCGTGGAATTCCCACAGCATAGTGGTTAGCTCGCTCGCCTCGCACGCGAGAGGACGCGGGTTTGATTCCCGGATGGGGTGAAACCTTAGGAGGGTTTCCTTACTCCACCCGCCTCTGTTTAGTCGATTAGCGGATTGCTTCCCAGGGGTAATAATCCCTCAAAACAAAAAGCGGTCACTCAATCCACGACTGTTTCTGGGACACTGCTGTGCGCAATTGACTGCTGCTTTTCGCACACAAAATACGCAGTCGATCCACTTTATAATATATTCTTTGAAGCGTCTCAATGATGCGATAAGGCACTAAAGCAAAGACAAGGATTATTATTAAGCATTATGATTAGCTCTCCGAGATGCCATCCAACGTGAAGGGCGCTATATAAGTACAAGATGTTGTTGTTATAGTGCAGGGTTAGCAGTGATTTGGATTGTCGAGCAATGTTATTATTTTGTCTTCACCACGTATACGTGCTGTCCAATCCTTCAGCATCTCATCACAGACCCTCGGGCTTGGGTTTCTCTGTTGCATTGATGAAACTATTAAGCATGTGGATCTGATGAAGCTGTCAAAAGAAGCAGTGAATGGAATGAGCTGCTGCTAATCCTCAACAGCATCTGTTTAGTTCATGGTGGTTCATAGCTGATAACATAGTCATACTGATGCACCTTCACTGTTAAGCGGTATCCATCAAGGTCTTCTGAGGTTCAGGATTAATTAGCTAGTCTCTACAAGCCTGTCAGACCACCAGATCTCTTCTCTACCCGCACATTTCATCAGCTACGTTCTCCTAATCTTTGCTCCGGGCAAGATTGAGCTCAAGGCAGCTCAGCTCCCTGTAGTGGGTTGAAGATGTACAAGGAGCTGAAAGCGAGTCTGATCATGTCTGTAATTGTTACGAAGTGCCTGCTTTACAGTCAAGGTTGTTTCCTCTTCAATTGCCAGATGTAATTGAAAAACAGGAATACAGGATCCAGGATGACTGCAGGAAAGCAAATGCGTGTTGTAGTTGGAAACTAGGACGATCTTACCATGATGGGTTGATGTTTTCTCTGTTTCGCTGGGCAGGACGTGCTCACTGCTTGTTCCTTCTAGTTTATTGTTGGTACTAATAGCTTTTAAGCTTCGGGTGGGGGGGGGGAGCGGTGTGCAGGAATGGGAGAAAGAACAGGAATAGGATTTGAGTATTTGGTAGAGCGAGCACCAACGCAGACAGGATGGGCAAAGTAGCCTTCAGTTCTGAAATTCAGCTGCCTTGAGATCCAATCTTACAAGACATCACTCGAACAGAAATACCATATCAATTACAGGGAGGACATTGCTCTAAAATCTTCTGGTCTTCTTCTTTCTTTGTAGTGCAGGAGGCTTTGAAGCTTGGTCGAAAGTGGTCAGACTCTGGCGTCAGTGTATTTAGTTCAGTAAATGAAGACGAGCATTTTGACACCACTTCACTTGGACTAACTTGAGCTGGGCATCAAAGCAGTGGATGATGGACTCGCTTTGAGCCTGCAGTGGCCTGGAAATGCTAGTCATCTGGAAGAGGAAGATAAGGTTAAGCGTTGGGTTATGATCCCTCCTCAATTCACGGCTGTTTGTGGGACACTGCTGGGCGCAATTCCCAGTCTCTTTTTCAAATGAAAGGTTTATTATTATTATATTACGTGTGTAGTGGCTGTATTTTGCAGGCAATTGAGCTGGAGCAACACAGTGAATTCGAATTAACATGCGTTAATGCCTCTGGTATCCCACGGAACGAGACCTGTGGTTTACAATGCACCACTTGAGCCACTGTGTACAATGCTGGTGCTGAGATGGGGTGAGATGTTTGCCAGCCAGACTGTTTGCTCATTGTTTGCCTGGTCTTTGTTCAGATGCTTTTTACGGCCTTTTAAATAAAGACGTCACTTTGGAACTACTTCAAAAAGGCTTTCAGGATGAGATCGTATTGCTGTTTGAACCGGCAAAGAGGCTCTAATGCTATTTCTGTGCAATGCAATAGCCTCGCTTGGGTGTTGCAGTGTGCAACTTCCAATTTCTTTCCCTCCGGACTCCGTGATTGATGATTCCCTTTCTGGTCGAAACACTGAGATCAGGAAATTTTCGTCCCTTCGTAAACTAAGCTCCTTGATCTCCGGGCTTCCAGCGCTGATTACCAACTCGCTCACCAACCAAAAGTCTCTTGAAGTGACACTTTTGCAGCCTTTCGTTTGACTGTATTTAATAGAGGAGCTACTTTTAAGAATGAGCAAAACTTCACAAGTATGTAACGTTTTAAACCTGATTTGAAAAAAATAAAACCAGAACGATACTTTGGAATGGAACAAGACAGTAGAACAACAGGTCATCGGTTTAGAATTGTAAAGGACAATTTCAGGGCAGTAATCCATCCAATAATAATCCTTGCATTTGATATAGCGCCTTATCACGTCTCAAATAGTGGTTTGCGGTCACCTCCCCTCAGCTCGGCCACTGTTAAGCGCTCCGAGGTCTTAGCCCCGCGTGAATGGCGCTGTGTGAATTACAAGTCGCCGGTTTTAACACATGAAAGTTCTTTGCAGTCACGAGTTCCTTTTGGGCATTCCAGGTTCCTTGGCCGTCTTAATCCCTCACCTGGGAATCGTGATCACGCTGGTGGGGTCTGTCAGCAGCAGCGCTCTGGCGCTGATCATCCCCCCCCTCCTCGAGATCGCCACCTACTACAGCGAGGGCCTGAGCCGGTGGATCATCCTCAAGAACGTGGTGATCAGCGTGGTGGGCTGCGTGGGTTTCGTAGCTGGGACCTACGTGTCCATCGAAGAACTTGTGTCCCCATTGCACAACACGACCACATCGATACATCTCAGTTAGGTTTCTTGTGTATTATGTACAGAATGGCAGGTATATATATATATATATATGTACGTGTGTGTGTGAGAAAGAGGGGGTGGGGGGGCCTGTGTTTCCTTCCACTTTAACCCCCCCCTCTCCCCCCCACTCCTCCCCGCCTCCCCCCCCCCAGCACTTTATAGTACAAAATGCTTTCTGTTTAAAGCCAGGGACTAAAACTCCCTGTTGATCATGCTTTTAATCTCTCTTCCCCCCCCCCCCCCCCCCCTAAGCAGTTTTATATTTCCTGTCCAATTTTATCATGGGGGAACCCAAGCATTAATATATTATTCTCCCGCCACCCCCACCACACACAGCTCCTCCATATGCCTCTCCCCCCGCCCCCCCCCCCCCCCACTGGAAAGAGGCTGCTGTTTTGTGTTCCGTCCCCTTTCGGAAGTTGAATCACTCGATTGAACCGTGTAATTTAATGAAGAACGATCTCTGGGATTTACAACACTGATTGGTTGCAGGTAGTATAGTAGCATTCCTCTGAATAAGTCAGTATAACACGTAAATGTAACAGATGGGAGGGAGTGAGCGGGTTTAAGGCTTGGTTAGTGTGTTTTTAAAGCTTCCCCGATCATGTGGTATGATTATGTGTTTTTAATTAAGTTGGGGGGACTTTGTTAACGTCAGTGGAAGATGTTCACAATAAGCAGCTGAGAGGAGAGGATACGGGGGGAATGGAAGACTGGTTACATAGGCTGTGGGTACATGGGAATAACATGCGTTTGTGAAATTCCCAATTCATCTCTACTTGATCCCAACCCAACATCATTCGAACCCTGCAAACAGAAATACTGTTGACGAGTGCCTTGGCACGTAGCGAAGTACTAATCAATACAGAAATTGTAACTTGAGTCACCTCTTCTGGGCAATTGGAACATTGTAAATCTTAATGGATTGAAAACCAAAGAGTAATGTAGATTTAGGTCCATTCGCTCCGAGGGCTTGGGTTCAGAGCTGGTGCAGGCTGGCGGGCTTAGGTTAACCTTTGCTGCTGTTTTAAGGTTGCTAATGTGAACACAGCCTGGATGATCTCCACACGGTTCCCGGCACTCATCATAGACCCACGATATAGTGGTGGTAATTTGGCACAATTGATGTTTCAGCCAGAGAGTCAGGTGCTCCACTGAGATTATAGTCCAGACAGATTGGTGGGAGAAAGCTTTACATAACGTCGAGTGTCGTTTGAGAGGACTTGATGACCCCGGTAACAAGGCAACACAAATAGCTGCTAAAGATGGTTTCCCTAGGAGTGAAGTCTGGGTTGGATATAAGAAATCTTCAGAGGACCAAATAACCATCTGCCAAGATGTGATAAACTGGCGGAACAGGCCCTGTGGGCTGAATGGACTCCTCCTGTCCCTGTTTTTCCTATATTCCTGTCTCATCGCGAATGGCCTCCGTGTGCAGATTTTGAATATTAACCTGAAGCTCAGAGGAGAGAGGTATTTGTCGAATATCTGTGCCTGTGCCACAGAGCTCTGAACAAGGTTTCCTGTTAGCTGCTCTTTCTCGAGCCGTATTTTTAGATCAAACTTTCAGCACTGAAGATGGAACTGTCTCATTGTCACTGTGCTGACTCCCCCAATGAAAAATTCTCTCTCTCTCTCTCTCTCTCTCTCTCTCTCACACTCCTCTCTCTCTCTCTCTCTCCTCCTCCCCCACCACCCACACCCCCCTCTCTCTCTCTCTCCCTTCCTCTTCTCGTTATCTCGACTGGTGCTGGGGCCACGGGCAGTGACAGCCACTGGCGTTTCGCTAGTTTAGTCACTCTTCCCTTGTGGGCCTAGATACTATAGTACTATAGTAAGTTTTGACACAATCTTATTTGATCTACCATCATTTCCCCCAATTGACATCCAATCCACTCTCCGCTAACAGTGAACAATTCAACTCCTGTACATTCAGCACATGTCTTGCTTTTAGCTTCACGTCGCGAGGTGACTGCAGGGAATGAGACGCTGCATTTTTAACGTGTTTATTTATTTTTACACAAAATTGTTCAACGGTGACTCCTACCGAACGTGTCCGGTTCAATGTGGGTTATTCAGGATCATGACTAAGAAGTTCCTGCCTTCGGGGTTTGGTTGTGGAGGTGGCGGGCGATTCATTGCTCTGATTCAGCAGAGGTCTGGAAAAGTGCAAGAGTTTGAGCAAAACCTTTGAACAAACGTCTACCTGTATGATATCAGTGGCAAAGTGCAATCTCGAGAATTCTCAAACGAGGGGAATGGATGCTGCTTGAGCAAAGCCGTTTATGAGGTCCTATGGACTTCAATCGTATTCTACAGCATTAACCTGGGATGGAAATTGTGCGGTCGTGGAGAAAAGAATTGTATCCGAGGGGTAGCTAGCTGCTAGAGTGGTGTGTGGTCAATTGGAGATTAACACTGCGCTTTTAAGGGAATGTTTTAAGAGCTTATTTTTTGTGCAATTGTGGGTTTCCAATGTGACCCTTCCAGGACTTATTGACTTGTGTCGACGGCCAGTGTTTGAAGCCAGTGACTACTTTGTGACATGAATGTGCTGGATAACCTTGCTTTGAGTAAATGTATTTATCTCTATGTTTGTAACGCGAGCAAAACTGCTTTACAAAGTACTGTATTGGAAGCTTTGTTCAAAGTACCCTTGAGCTATGTTGTAAATATTTATCAGTATAAATCTTAAATTGGTACTGACTTCAGTGTTTACAGTAATCCTGTCGATGTGTATAATAAAACTATGTATAGTCTTGGGCGGTAAATTGCAAAGAACTGATAAAAGGGCGTATCAATACTTGAACATTTCTGCTAATGTTGAACGTATTAATTTGACATGATTGTTGGGTATTTTATGGAGTTGATGGCTTTATTCAGGACAATGGGAACTGGGCAACCCCTGTTCCTCTGGTTATCTATCCAGGGTAATATTTTTTTGGGTGGGGGGAGGAAGGTGGGTCAATAAGGTTTGTATACTCAAGCCATTTTATGTACAATGATGCATCTGTATATGTGTTTTATGTAAAGCTGTCGATTCTTTTTATGGAATTAAAATACCAATTGCCAACATGTGGAAGCGTGTGTGCGCGTGTGTGTCCGTGTGAGTGTGTAGTTTTCATGGCCCGGATCAACAAGGACTGTCAGACAAATGGAACGTTGTGGAGATTCGTTACCGTTTTAAGAACATCCAGTCACTGATTTCTTGAGCTAGGAACGTACGTCCTCGGTCGTGTAGAAAACTGACCTCGTGGGCCAGGAATTAACGCTTGCCTTCAGTCAGTGCGTCAATCCTGCTGCTTTTCGAATAGCGACGATGTCACATCAGGCGTAACATTGTGCTGGGAGCGTTGTGTCCGTGAGAACGAGAGCAGAAACCGGTAAGATTCCTGATTTAATCTCACTGCCCCCTTGCCGAGCCACTCGCCCAAATCCATTTGTTTCATTTTGTCTTTAGTTCCGTGGACTTTTTTTTCCCCCCAAAGTCTTGCGTTTGGAACTTTACCCAGTGACTTCTGAGGTCCAGTGAAATGATTTAACCTCAGCTGTTTGTGAGACAGGGCTAGGTACAAAATTGGCTGCAACATTTGATTACAAATACACAGTCTCGACACTAGAGAAATTTTGAGGCATTCTCAAGTGTTGCAGATAATAATAATGATCCGTGCATTTGATATGGCGCCTTAACTCATCGTCGAGACGCTTCACAGACGAATCCAACTATAGATACAGTATGAACCAAAATGAGTCAATATCAAAGCCTTTCCACCTTTGATATGATTCACAATTTGGCCAATTACTGTCCAGTGGGAACCACTACTGCGTTCAAAACTCAACAAACTATAACGGAGCGAACTTCTCTTGAATAGACTGCAGACTGGAGTTTAAAAAAAACATTCAGATGGGGAGGGAGCAAAACCTCTTTGCTTAGCAGATAATCACACAGTGTAACTAATCCAAAATGCTCCCTCGGTGATGTGAGTAGATGTCGATTTTTGGTGATAATCTTTAAGCAAACATCTGGAATGCCTTCTGCCAGATGTTTGTCAACATTTTCCCCCAGGCTCCTGACCCTAATGGTGAAATGGAAATATCACGTCACACACACACTGGCAAGTTCTATTCCGAACTCGTTGGCTTGCGGCAGAAAGGATAATTTCACATGTTTTTCCGGGATGTTAATTTCATAATCGAGGCGCTTTGTTTAGTGGGGGGATGATTGGAATTGTATTGCAAATTATCTGAAATATTGCGGCAGTTTCTTCCTCCCGGCTTTATTTTGAAACGTTTCCTAGTCTGGTTCGGGCAATGATGTCTTTACCCACATTAATAATTAATAATAATACTTTGATTTGATATAGCGCCTTTCATGTCAGGCAAATGCAGCAGCCAATTCAAGCGCAGCAACGTCTCACAAACAGCCATGGTGTGAATGATTTATACTATAATCCCAGTGTCCTGTATAAAAATAACCCCCTCTCTCTTTCCCCACCCCCCCCCACCACCCCCCATAAATTTTGTTATGGTTATACACAAATTGACTGCTGCATTTGGATGAGACGTTCATCAAGTCCCGTCTACCTGTTCAGGTAATAATAATAATAATAATCCTTGCAGTTGATATAGCGCTTTTCACGTCGGGAGGACGTCCCAAAGCGCTTCACAGAACACACTGTAAAGTGAATTGACTGTATATTTGTGGGCGAACGCAGCAGCCAATTGCGCACAGCAATGTCCCACAAACAGTCGTAGATTGAAAATGACCAATTTATTGTTGTTTTTGTTTTGAAGGGATTATTATTAGGCTCTGTGTGGAGTAAGGAAACTTGCCCAAGGTTTCGCCCTCTGCCGGGAATTGAACTCAGGTCTCTCGCTCGCAAAGCGAGTGCTCTAACCACTGAGCTACAGGACTCCAGGTGGATGTTAAAGATCCCTTGGAACTCTTCGAGAAGAGAAGAGAGTTTCTCCCAGGGCTTCTTGGCTAACAATGCTCCAGGTAAGATTGGTCAAGTTTGTGGCGCGC